ACGTTGTTGAATCGTTATTGTCAATAATTGTGTGGGTATGTGTGCGTGCGTGCCACCAACTTGTACCTTGAACTCGCCTTGTCAATATTTGGAAATGAAACACACGGCTTGTGCACGAACTCACTAAATAGGCTCGAGATTTTTGCGGTTTCGAGCCAGGTCCTTGGCGTGACGTCAACCCCCCGTGGGTCAGGTTTGCGCAAGACACCAGTGACTTGGTTTTCCCCTTTTATTTGCTCTGAAGTAGATAAGTGGTGGGAAATACAGAAGCACCTCTAGCAGGTAATTACTTTACTGATGATTTGGCCTTGAAGGCATTGTCGGATCTCCCTTTCCTAATTGCCTGCCATTTGATGATCTTGTCCATCAGTGTGAATTTTGTCACTACGTGAAGTACGCTCAGATTAAGCGAACGGCGTGACATGAAGCCCTCGACACTTCCCCCACCGAATTGTGGTGCTCTGTTTGAAAACACCTTACGTTGGTGCGTGGCCAAATTGTACGTTAATGCATTGGAATAGTACATGCGTTTATTGTGGCATCCTTTTTAGCCACCTTGTTGGAAAACGCAAAGCCTGTGTGCGTGCTGTTGCCGGGCGAATGCCGTGCGGTGTGTCGAGCCTAACCACGTGGTCGGGCTTTTGCCTCCACGGCGAACCGATGGGCCTGATCTGAAGAACCACGACTTAGGCCAAAACAGTTGTGCATGTTTGGCATGATGTTTTGACACTAACACCCTCATTTGTACTATAATCTTTGGTAATGACAGTTTTCAATAGTTTTTATAGGCTTCTAGACTTGTTAGTCCGTTAAATTAAAATACGACGACATGGTCTCGCAGCCTGATGTGAATCATTAACGTTAGCTATGGATTACGTGGCTGCAATCTATCTCATATTTTCCCACGCCTTACGAATGTCTACTTTGTTTCATGCTTTAAGTATTCGTAAAACGGTTTTCCTGCACACGCCTCTGTCGCGTGTCGATTGCTTTCTCTAGACGGGTTGACAGCTTTAGTATGTCAGTCTATTGTATCCTTGAATCAACATCGGGAAAAATTCTTGCTTTCGACCGTTTTAGGGGTTCAGTCAACTGCGAAATGCACACGGAGTTATTCCTATATTTTGTTATCAAATTTGTCATCATTCGTAAAACTCGTTGTGCCTATTTTACGATCAACTAGAAGATAGGCATATGTGCATTTTTTCTAGCTGTTTTCTCCAAACTTATGTTTCAGCATAATTCAGCCTGTCAGATTTCACTTAAATTAGTAATCTCATGTAGAGGCAGTTTGGACACCAAGTGATGTTGCCTCATTGTTTAACCTAATTTCATACATACGTCACCGAAGGCTATGGAAATGGATATTTTGTTAATTTCCATGCTCAAATGCATCGCTGCTCCATCAAGAGACCATTTACCTGTTGATCTTAAAGCGGGTCAGTTCCCGTTGTCTATTGTCGCCCATTCTTTGACTTTACCATGTTTTAATCCTCTTTATTTTCTAAGATGGAAAGAGATTGTGTCAGACGGGTGTGAATAGCTTAAAACATTGTTGCCTGGTGCCCATTTTTCGGTCCGCAGTTGTAACAGCGTCTCACTTAAATTCAACAGCCCTAATTTACTAGTGTATGTCAGACAGTGGAAGCAAGAATTTTCATATACTCTACAGGTTGTGTGGCTTATACTTTTTTTCTAAAGCTCAAGGTTTTTATTAAAATTTGACCACCTACTAAGACTACTACTGCATGTTGATCCGGTTATCTTTTTCTGTTGTGAAGAACCACTGTTTTGCTCTTTTTACGACGCTTCCGTACAGCTTCAATGGGATAAATTGATCTATTTAGGGTAACACTGAACTGAATAGCTACTTTTAGTGAAAATGCCTGGGCTTGAGCATGAGTTGTGCCAAACCGCGACAAACAGATCTAATGTTTGTTTTTTATCGCAAAGATTTATCTCTTCGCTCCACCACACTTCACCTCCCCTCTGGTTTAGAAAGTGACTCAGCAGACAAATTCGTGCGTATGGGCTGCGAACTCCGACAACACCCAGTCGCTCACTCCAATGCCCATCACCAGCGTTTGTCAGGAGCCAATCAGCGCCAAGCTCTAGCAGCTGCAGCTGTTGCAAATGCGGACTTGATGACACAGTCGCTCATAGACTGGCCTGGCTGTGACGACACCACCTCAGCATCTGGTCTCCACCATCAACGTCAACAACAGCGTATTTGTCATCGCATGAAGGCTGTTCACCTCACAGACTCTGGTCTCGTTCTTTCGCCCCAAGACGCAACCTCCTTGCCCGTTTACCACCATGGACGAAGGATCTTCTTTTCTTCGTCCTCTTCAAATAAAACTTCTCCCGGTGATATGCCTCCAGGAGGATACTTCTTTCAAAGCCAGGTTTCCTGTCCACCCCATCTGGGTGGGAAGATAAATGTTGATGAGGCTGTGTGGGCTGACGGCAGTGTATTTGAGTATCAGACGGCTCCTGCCCACGCCTACCCTGGTCAGGCCTACATGCTCTGGCCACCACATCAATTTGTGAGTGGCCGGAGAAGACGAAACCAGAACCACCACCCCACTCAACCAATCATCGTTCCGACTGGGGACGAATCTGCCTTACCAATTGAGAAGAGGTCTACCTCTGTCAAGTCTGGTGTTGGTCATAATGGACGTCCACAAGTCCTTGTCACTGGACGCCACCGTAGCAAACGAGCTGCTGATTTGGCCGCTCTCGTATCTTTGCCCGTGGAGGAACAACCGTAGGTCCTTCATTTGCAAAACTAAGCTTATTTAGCCCTTAAACGCAGAGCAGTTTGTGCGCGTTGTTCGACTACGTTAGAATGCACAGCAAAGAATGCCACACTAATGCACCCAAAAAATGACAGGACATTTTTTAGCTTGCTTTCCGTTTTGAGCTGGCCAAAAGCAAATCCCATTTTACTGCACGAATTGCGAAGTGGCAAATAAATTGCGAACATTAGCATTCACTTGCTATTGTCATTTCGTGTTATTGCCCTGGACTTACGAAATATGTGAAAATAGTTAATGGGATCCCTGTGATTTTCAGTAACATCAATCGTGTATAAAGCGCGCAGATAATCCATTCAGAAAAACGTTTAACGGGTTGAAAGTTTACCTAGCGTAAGAAGGCTTTCGCGCCGTCGTAATTGCATGAACGAAAGCCGTACGCGCGCGTGCGCACGTCCCATCGTGTATTTGCGCCCATAATTATTGATCCGCCGCAGACACGCACGGACGCACCAGTTGGATGTGTACGCGCTCGAAGTGGCACGAGGTATTGTCCACGGGGCCATGATGCCTGCGCTCAACTACTTTTGAGCCCGTTTCTAGTTGGGACAGTCAAGATATTGCAATTTCTGCTACTTCTAGATGGTTCCATGGTCGCCTCCCACGAGCAGAGGCTGAGTCCTTGCTGCGATCGGCTCCACCTGGCAGTTTTCTTGTACGAACTAGCGAATCAAGCAAGGCGGCGTTCTCGTTATCTATCAGGTTAGTATTATTCGTCGGCATCTGTCTATTCGACTTATATTAATCATAATCATCCTGCAGTTCTACCTTCACCTTCACTTTAGGGTTCAGGTAACATCAAGTAGATCTGTTTTTCTATTTGCTTTCATAATTCTTCATTTGCTAACTCTCCTTGTAATAAAAAGAACCACCAATCCTTTCTCTCACTAGAACTCCCATTGCTTTACAATAAATCTTCGACGCGAACCGACTTTTTACTTAATCAGAACTGGTTCACGTGCGTCATTATGTCAGTCTGGGATCTTTCCCTTAATTGATTAACTGTCGCTTGTCCACTCAGTTTTGAGTCCATGGTCTTTCCATTCTTCTACAAAAAACTCGCGTGAATCCTTTCCAAGACCGAAGCTGCTACAGTTTCTACCGAAAAGAATTTTACAGCCATCGTAGAACCGTTTAGGTTTTACTGGCCTCGGTGAAGTAAACAATGGTTTTCGAAGGCATCAATTTTTCTACCTCAGGTGTGTTACTTTCATAGAATGAGTCATCTAGCAGTGTCTGACCAAATGCACCCGACGACGTCTATCGTTCAAGTCGCGTTTACAGCTGTTTGCGTAACTGCTCGTGGAAACCTGTTACATGAACCTTCTTCACGCCTCCCAACTTTTGCACCTCGGCAACTCTTAAACTACGTGTTCGGCCATAACGTCTGTAACTACGGTGTAGTTATGACTCCCGAGTTAATCTTGCAAAACAAACCTGGCCGATTTGCGGTGCGCATACTAGCTGTGGGGAATCCAAATCAATTGTACTTTTTTCCCCTTTTTTTGAGGCTTCCATGAAGGGTACAAGTTTGATTCACTTGTTCGCATAAACTACTTAACCAGTACGTTTGTGCACTTGGAATAAATATTTGCTACCAATGTACCACAATTTGAGGTTAAATCGCTCTTTTAAGGCGTGACAGAGACTTCCTGCACATGAAGATTTCATACGACCCGAAATCCGAAGCCTACATTCTCGGCGAATACAGCCAGCCGTACCCGACCGTTCCCATAATGGTGCACCATTATACCCGGAACCTCCTGCCTGTGCGCGGCACGAAACCAGTCCTACTGAAGTACCCTCTCTGCCGTGCTATGAGTCCTTTCACCTTGCAGACCCCCTGACTTGCACCACCACCCCCACCGCCGCCCCCTCCTGTCCACCGTCTTTCCGAACCGCGCCGCTGATCAACGTACATCATTCACACTGACAAACTTGTATAGTTTTTCCTTTTGTTGTACTCGTCGAAGGTTCCCCGAGACCTCGCTATCCCATACACACACACACACACACTTTCTTCAATTTCTCCAGACTACTCAAATTCCACAATGTCCGTATCAGTGCCCTGTAGTAACTGCATTAAGTATTGTCTGTATTCACCCTCAGTAGTACACAAGGAAAGAGTGAAGGACGTCTTCCGGTGATTACCGCCGTTAAGAGCAATCGAGCGCTCTTTCCTGTATTTCTATACGAGCCTATTATTACACTCGTTAAAAAAATAAATACGATTCTTACTGTAATGTACACGTCATCAAGTACCCATTATTACATCTGCAGTGTGATGTATAATTTGACTCAAGCATTAAGTGTAGTGTAGTATTCCATTGTAAGCAGGTCTTGGTTTTAATAGCAAAACCAGCGTGATGGTGATTCCTCGCTTGACGTTTAAGCCCAGGAGAAATTGGTAGTTCTGTGTTGGCAAAGGTTTATAAGAAAAGGGCTATTTCCGTATTTACAACTTGGCCGAACGGGCGCTTTGAACGGACACTTTTTACGCCTAATCTGTACGGTGTCGAGTTTGGTCGAAGGACTGCCTGAGCTGCTTTCTGTCTCAATCAGGAGTTGTCCCTCTCAAGCTCATCCACTACTCCAGGTGACAGGAAGTGCGTCTCTCGTTCTTCTTAAATTTTGAACTTTGAAAAAAGCGTAGGCTGCATAAGTAAACGATCTTTTGTTTATCACTGGTTTCATTAGACAACTGGCCATTTTGGTAGGGTTTATTTGCATAAACACAGTCAACAAACCTCTCTGCATCTGTTGACTGTCTTTTTTGACTAGTTCACGGAAGTACAGAGCGATTATTTGAATGACTCGTGATGCGAACATTTCGATACTAACAAGCTTCTATGCCTCGTGGCTCCTCACGTTCTTTTTGTTTCTGCTACGTTTTACCCGGTGAACAAAAATTGACAGTGAATGTGGGGTTGTATTCTTGTGGATGGAGCTACGTGAATAGAGGTCACAAATCTCGGTGTTTGTTGGATTACTTTGGGGGATGTTGATATTCCCAGCAAATTCAATTATGGGAAAAACGGATAGTCTAAAATTTGCCTCTCTTGAGCGCCTGCGTTTATCTTTGCTGACGTGATAAACGTGAGGTAAATTTGGGTGCTAAGCACTAGCTCTACTGTTTGGGAAACGAAGCTATGTGAGTTCCCCTGTTGACACACACTGGCAGGAGAATGACCTAGTAAATTTCATTTCAAGTGTGACTGCTAGGTGTGTAGTGTTACATTGCAACCGTTTTAAGGCAAGCAGTTATATTTGTAATGCCTTGCACCCAATATGAGTCCCTTCCCGTACAGCCACTTTACCGCCTTCACAAACTCATACTAAACTAACTCTTAACGTCTACTAAAATTACTTCAAGCGAAAAGTGATTTGGGCGTTTACGGTAGCGAGGACGGAGTCTGGAATGTTACGCGTCTCTCCCCATCAAGGTAAAGCAAAATGCACACGTGCCATAAAAAGACTGCGTAAATGCCAACCTGAAGGTGTACTTGCCGCGCAGACGTCAAGTCTTGGTCTCTAACATTAGGTTCAGCGTAGCGACGATCTAACCAGGTCTGCTTGAATAGCTTCAGGGAACACAGTGATAAAGTGTGCATCAAGCGACATCTTATTGCAAGTAATTCTAACGGGTGGTGAGACCACCAGGATGCGATAATTTAACATTTATTACTTATGTACCTAAACAACCATTCGAACCGTTAAACCACTTGAAGGCAATAGATGTCTGTGTGTTTTGGAATAGTGGACTTGTAAAGTTGGCAGATTTAATTTATTCCTGGTATACCCATGTCATTGTCGATGGTGTCTTTCTAACCGCGTGATTTCACATTTACACACTACTTGATTGTAGCTAGTAGCAAATTCTCCAAAATGGCACCTGGCAACCAAGTCAAACTCAGGTAAATGCCGAATGGGCCATAATTTATGAACAAAGCGGATACACCTAAGGTAAGAGCTAGATTAATATGTCTGGGGAAGGGTTTGTACGCATAGAAGTCAACAACTATTAAATAAAAGCCAATTTCACACTCAGTTCTTTGAAATAAGTCACTAGCTTTAAGCAATCTATCGGAAACGATATTATTAAATAAGGCTTTCGTTACTATGCGATCGCGCGTCGAAATAATTACTAATCACTCATATATCATTACCAGAAAAGTGAGGTGAATGAGAGACAGCGAAAGTGGACTACGTAGCAGTTATGCTGAGGTAATCAACGTATAAGTTATAGGAAATACAACATAATCTAAGACTGAATAATAAAAATTAGCGCTACCTTATGCACTGTTTTGAAACACCCCAACTTTCTTCTTCACAAGCCATTACTACTGGGATGCAGCAAGTATTAGACAGGAATGGAAATCAGCTAGAGGATCATCACTGCATTTGGAATCGTCGCTTCCCCGAATACCCTAATAAAAGCACCTCATTTAAATACATCGCATTTTTGTCTTGTTTTTATAGTCGTTGTTAAGGTGGGGCAATTGGATTTATGATTATATCGATTAGTTTTAAGTCGCGCTTTTAATATTGCCTTATGTGGTACTCACAAGACCGTTGATAGAGGCATGGGTTCTCACAAATGTGTATGACATAAATTAGCTCAGCATTAATGTTTGAATAAAAGTAGCGAAGGAGGGGAGTACTACGCTGCTGAAAGCCAAATAAAAACACTGCACTTTGTCAAGCAAGTACACAGATTTCAGGGTGTTGAAGATACTGCGATTCGACGTGAGGACCCCGCACAAACACTAAATCACAGTGGAGCTGCACACCAAATAGAAACGTAGTAAATAATAGAGAGGCTTGTTCGCGGATCGTAAACTACCGAAACACCCGAGCAGTACTTGGTGGACAACTGATCCGAAATCCACTGACACATATTGCAAACGCTCAACAGAGGCCGACCCACCATCCTAACATACAAAAATAGTTGGCACTCCCCAGACTAGACTACTCGATTAATCGGCTTCTAGCAAAATTTGCAATAATCGGTCGTTACAAACGCAATCCTGGTCTACGCCTATTTGGCCAATAAAGATTGTAGTCATTGATAAATTTACTAAGGTAAAAGCAAATGCTCTTGCAGTGAGTTCTGCTGATTCACGCTAAGCACCCCGGTCGTCGCAGCCTCACACACACGTCCCCCCATTTCACGACCTGCCCGTCAATCACGTGAGGCCAATGGTGCATTAACCACTGTGCATGTCCCACCGCCACCCGTTTTATTCATGTGACCCCACAGACACCTGTGTTTATTTTTGTACTGGTCCACTCAACCGTTATTGTACACAACACAACTTGGTTGAGCGGTCTAGTGAACGGTTGTGCCTTCTCCACTCCGGTCTTCTTTGTTTTCGCGGGAACACGGGGTAGCGTATTCGGACTAGACAGTCGCAGTGGCCCCGGCGTGGTTCAAGACAACATGCCGGGGCCACCAACACTCTTATCTTCTCCACAGCACGCTTCACCTTCCGAAGAAATATTTGCTGGGTTCTGACAATTGACAACTTCAACCACAAATCGATGGAGGATCGGGTTCAGGCGGAAACCATGGAAAGTGGAACTGAGATATTGAAAACCACTTCAGAAGGCCGCCAGAGTTGGTAGTTTTGTTTGTAGTGTTGAGTAGCGACTCACCGTCTCACCTTATATCTAATTAAACTTTCAGCTTCCACCAAGCTCCATAAGTGATCCAAGACAAGTCAAAATGGGCAGTTAAAATAACAAGAAACTCAATCTGGTCGATATGCACACTGTCACAATTGACTCAAACGGTCAGCAAGCTGAAGGATTGTAACTGCAGCAATAATTTTGCACAAATAACCAATAAAGTAACCAAGAAGAAACGGTCAATAAAAGTGCACAAAAAGATTAAAATAAGGGAACATGCTCTGGAGTAGATCAATTAAAGTCACGTATATATCTAAATTGTCGACGAAACCTGGCACGTCAGGGACCAAAATTGTACAAATCCTGAATCAGACTGACTGCGGTTGCATTTGGAAGAGGAAACGGATGGCCCTCACTGTTGAAAACCCACTCTCTCAGATCAAACCTTGCGGCAAGCCCATCATCGAATAAGAGAAGAAAGTACTTGAGAGTCTCCGCGATCCAGAAGGAATCCATCTTGTCCCTGTGGATGGGCCTGGCGGAGCGGACATCAACGATTGGCGCGAAACCAGCCGGCGACACGCGGCTGTGCGTATTGAAAGCTCGGAATATTTCTCGTCCCCAAAGTTGATACCGCTGCCTTTTTGTAATTCGGTAAAGGTAGAAAAGGGACTCCACCGTTTCCGGACGGAGTAGATTGAATGCGTCCGATTGCTACAAAAACAGGCTTCATTGAATCCAAAGAAACCACGACGACGCGAACATTCGGCGTAGTAATTCGACAAATGAAAGGATGTTAAAAGCGACTCTGAAAAATCACAAACTCAAGGCTTTTTAACAGTGTGCTTGTGAGAAATGGGCATAATAATGAGAGTGAAACAAAATTATGTTTTGTGGCCATCTGCCAAAAAGTTGCCCATTCTAAGTGAAGCCATAAACAATTGTATTTCGTAACACGAAATGAAGGATATGAAAACTATACATGAAAATATACTAAGGAGCATCTAAACGTTTTTAAATTTAAACAGGTAGATGGTAAAAAGGTCCCTACTTCTGCGACATAGGGGGTGGGGCGGAAATTAATGAAGAAACGTGTTACGTGCAGTCAATCCTTACTCTAATGTAGAAGTCCGGTCTTTCGGGGTTCGCAAGGTTAAAGTAGACGATTTCTGCACTCAAACCGGTTGACGTATTGTTGTAGAGGCGATAGCAGGTTTCCATCAGATCTTCAGCTAGCTGAAGATGTTCTACTGGCATTCCATGTAGATGGCCGTAAGCCAACGTGCCCGGAAGAAAGCACACGAGATGGTCCTTACACGAAAACGTCATTAAATAAATATGAAATTGCTAGTACGTTACAACGACTACGAAAAACCGACGCGTGAATATGATTAAAGTAACGCTCCTATCCAGACTCCATTGCATAACTCGAACCCAAGAACACCGTTTACAGAAGCGAGAGATTTTGAGCCTGCTGAGGGTACCATGCATTAACCTCAAACTTGTCATCATGTGGAGTATGTGACAACTGCCTTCATTAACCACTGTGACGAAAATGATCTTCGGGTTTCCCACATTTGATTCAGGGAAACTGTCAAAATACTTGAAGAAAAGTACATGTGAGCGATAAAATATGTTAAGGATATTTGGCAATTTTATTATACCCACTTACAGCCGCTAAAAATACGCACCAGAGTAATAGTTTATGCTTGCCAAAGTGGCCCACACCCAAATGACAATTACTTGATGCTCAAACTATTGACACTTCCACACTAAGCCAATGTTGCCATAAGGCCCAATAACACATAAACCCACACGTTTACACAAACTCCCATAAGGTATAGGAACCCAAGTTGCGGAGCTGCGGCAGCCCAATTGAAACGGTCACCCGAGTTAAAGCACTCACCATTTTTGGAGAAAACTTCTGCGACTTCAATTCACCAACAAAGGTAAGTCCATTTGGCACGCTTTTGCGCAGAAGCATATCTGTGACGCCACGCACAGCATCAAGATATTGATTCCGAAGCCAGTCTGATTTCTTACCCGTTTGTACCCAAACCTAGTGGGAAAATGCGCACACAAGGTCAAAAAGCGGAAAACACAGATCGAAGTAAACATTGATGGAAAAACCAACAACAAATAGCGGTAATATCTAGAAAACCAGTGTGGTAGGCTGATTTCTTTGAAATGCACTTGTAAAGTCTAAAAACTGCGCAGGTTCTCAGTTGTAACTCACTTCCCCGATATCGCAAAATTTTGAGAGGAAACAATACATACTATTTAGTCCGTATGCTCTCGTAACGCCTAGGAGACGCCGCGATTATTCCTAGGTGCTGTCAGTGCGACTAAGATCAGCACGCTCCACTCTCGACAACTTTAGATCGGATTTGCGAGTAAAGACGTAATAAATGTATTGTTGTTCTGACGACCTCTTCCATTATGGTACATAAATGGATCGCCCTTTCAGACTCAACCCACAATACGATCCAATCCTCAACATGGCAAAATGCAGTTGAAATGGCAGTTATTACACAAAATATAGGAGAATATTGGCTAATTTCTTCTGATAACTGTGAAGGATCAGTTTCAGGGAACTTTCGACTTGCAAAAATGTGGTTTTGCAAGCGGTCTTAGTATTCAAATATCAAAGATTAACCATACTATAGAATATACTAACTAAATAAGACCGAATAAAAATACACTGAAGAGCATAATGCATCAGGAAGCCCGTCCTCGTAGCAAAATACTGATTTTAAGTGAAAAGTAAATCTAGTCATTCAGTGGAAGCTAGTACCTTTCTAGAGCACACTAAAATGAACACTTACTAGAAAGCTGCAGGAGAAGCAAACACCGTAATATTCCGATTTTAGTGCAGGATGTTTACATATTTAAAAAAAATTTTAAAAATAAAAAAAATAAATCCACTTCTACACTTTTAAATACATGACTGTGTCTTAACAGTTTCAGCATCTGAACGTCTGTACAGGTTAATGCGTTCTAAAGTAACTCAAATTTTCGCACAAAATACGCTTTATCAGTGACTACACTTGTAGCAATCTCTAGCATATGCTTTTCTACTACTTCAAATTTTTACCTGACGTAGATAACGCTGAGTTTATGACACAGTTATGTATTAAACAATAGTAAAAAAGGAAATGCAATAGATCTTAAAGGCGTACGAAAGCGTTTTCAACATTTCCATACCCTACAAAATTTGATTAAACTTCGAGTAAATTGAGCCTAAGATTGACTCGCAAAATGTTACAACTCACTTTTAAAAGATACTCATAGTAACTGTCACCTCGCGCCCCCAATGTGATTGTATCTGAAGATGATCTTTCGGGTTGATCCATGTTTACGAAAATCGCAATAAGACCAGAAAGCTTCTTCACGCCATTCAGAACACTGTAAACATTTGCAGCCGGTTTCTACACAAGCAAAAACTGTAGTTACCCAAGTCATCGTTTTGGAGATATTTGAATATATTTTTGGATACAAAAGCCATCGACGTTTGAGTTTTCTTAGATTTCGAAATCCCTACTTAACAAGTATTGTTAGCGAGAAGTCTATAAAGCAAACAAGGATTGGTGACTGACGCACGACTTAACCGCACTGATTTTGGAAAAAAACAAATCTAGGCAAAACGCGTGGTTCCTAAGTGGAAAACAGGAAGCGGGCCCAACTTAAAAATTTTCGGAACGAAATGTCAGATGTTCTTAAAACAAATGCAATTTCAAATATGAAAAGTAGATCAAAATAGCAGCTGTTTCCGGAAAGTGAATGATTCTACATCTTGGTTTCAGCCCAACAACAATGATTCGATGAACCACCACTGTAATGGATGGGTTTGTCTGACACAATGCACGGTGAATAAACGAGCAACCATTGAGGGACTTAACACGAGGCGAATAGCTGCGATGTAAAGCTAATGTACGAGAACACGTAGTTTGTAGTAGCAATTACATGGTACTAGGTAAAATCTGCAATATGATTCCTTAGTCGTGAAATACCTTATTTCTACCCATAAGTGATTTAAGTAGAAGTTTATGCTAGCAACTCATCACACTTAAAAAGAATACAACCATGGCCATGAACTGTTGCAAAGCGCAAAGGCAATCTTTCGCTCCTTGGTGCGATTTGACAGGAATGTAGAAATACGGAGCACATTTTAAAGTTCAAATCCTGTCCCTGGTCTAGTCGCCGCAATGCCCAGGCATATAACCGAGACAGCATGCTTATCACCTCAGCTCTGTTCTCATTTACATGTCTGGTGGGAGATAGCTTAATTTAAACGGGTACTGGAGACCCAAGTGAGTTGTGGCTGTTACCTGGCGGACCACGGCATCTGCAAATATTTCTGCAAGTACTTATAACGATACCGTGAAGCGGTAATTCTAACTATGGAAAAACTAACATATTCATATGCGTGGGAAGATATGGATATAATAAGGGAAAACAGTATTTACTTACTGCAATGCTTTTGTCTTGCAAGAGCATAGCAAGTTCATTAAATTCCAACTGAAGCGTTGCCACCTCAGAAAGAGAAACGGTTTTACTTGTACCAGCAAGCGACGTCCTGAGTGTTTGCAGGTTAATGTCGGTAAACGGCAGGCCTGAGGGAGAATTAAATGCAGCCAGAAGCTTGTGCCCAATCAAATCCTAAACAAAAGTGCGTTAATCTTTCTATGTATGTAAAACGGAGTAGCTGGATGTTTAATCACACTCACCGCCTTTTTCAGAAATACAGAGTCCTTAGACACGTGATATGCACTGAGCAGTCCACCTAATAAGCGTATTGTTGATTCGAAAACGTTTGTTCTGTCATTATTGTAATCGAAATTAATTGTGAAGGCGATCCAATCACGAGCCTGGACAAATTCTTCCGTCATGTTGTACATCCAAAGGGTGTCGAGTGAATCGATCATAGTAAGACCTCCATTCATCCAACGCGTACCCATCTTAGACAAAACCAGCACCTCATCCATACCCCAAGCGTAGTCAGCATAAGCTTTCCATGAGTGATGTAAGGCATCAGTGAGTTCGCTTAAGATGGGATCCTGATTCGTGACGTTCGATAGGCAGGAGCCATTATTTAAATCACAATTAAGGGGAGAACTCCATGTGTTTTCATTGCGAGTAAAATTTCGCAATCGCACAAATATACAGATCACAAACACAGAAATTACTAACAGAGAGAGTCTAGCTCGTCTAGGCATACAATAGCGCTTCATAACCTTAGTTTAATAAAAAACCTCAAGCATGAAAACAGCGTATTAGTAGGTACTTCATGTTATACACTCATCAGAAAAATTGGTTAAATACCAGTGTTGGGCCAGTGTAATGTGGTGTCGCGACGTATAAGGCGCAGACATATTGGACCAAGCTGACCGCAGCCAATCCCCTGTCTCTCTGCGATCCAGTGGAATGCGACGAAGACAGACACGTTTGAGAAGTGGTACATAAAAAGCGGCGTAGCCAGCGTGGTGCGCTCGAATTTACGGCACCTGGCATGTTGTTCTGGCGAGTAATTGGTCAATAAAGCCAGTTATATTGTACCGGTCTTCTTCCTTCTAAGGCGCAGATATTCTATAATAATCTTTGCAGTGATGTATGTAGGTGTAGACCTATTGAACCATACTTTACTTAGCCAGTCCTCAGCGTTCAGATGATTAGGGGAATGGAGGAGAGCTGTCATATTGTTGCTCAGTCATTGGTTGATTCATTAGCCGTTGAAACGTTGCCGGGGAGTTAACTAGAACGAAGGACACAGTCTCGAATTCGTATAACCCTTACAGAATTACGAACGCCGTCTTCTCTCGATGATTTGGATTGATTTCGATTTGCCAGTAACCCGACTTAAGACCCAAAGTAGAGAATGATGTTGACCCTCATAAGGCATCTAGCGTGACTGACTGGGATACATATCAATCACTGTGACTTCATCAGATTTCCGATAGCCTACGCATAACCTAATGGCATCGTCCTTATTTTTGACAACAATTTTAGGCGATTCTTATGGGGATTATGGCAGTTTGATGATATTCTTCTGTAACATATCTGCGATGGCTTCCTCAATTGCCTGCTGATACGCCACAGATCTAGCCCCTTTGAGGACGGAAGTGCCTGTGCTGTAACGAAATGACACCGTTACTCTGTTTGTACACTACCGGTATTTCATGAGGTCCAGTGCGTAAGCAGCGCTGTGGTCGGCTATATTCGTCCGCGTACCTCTGAAGGAAGTCTGACCCCAATATTCCATCGTGTCGCATATCTTGACAAAAATATAAGGTTTGCTAGCACAGATTACATGCAATAGCGAGTGAGACGTCAACACAACCTCTAATATCCATCTTGGTACCATTTGCGGCCATAACACAGACTATTGACTTCACCAGGTATGAATCAACGTCTTCGGCGGGAACCGTCTTGGGTTGAACAAAGAGCATCTGGCACCCGTACCACGAAGGAAGTGCATTAATATATCGCGTAAACCTACAGATATGAAGTGCCAAATCCCAGCACATGACGCATGAATGGTAGGGCATGGAATTGAAGCACCTGGATGCTTGTTGAAACCTTCTCCTTGCTGAGGTTTACCTGTCGAAGGTTTATCGGGTCCTCTAAAACACGGCTCTTGGAACCTGTTCATTTTTTGTTGTCATTGTAGAACGTGGTGTGGCTGAGCCCGAGCAGCGAACTGGACTCTGTTGCCCAGGTCAGGGTCCACCATAGTAGTCTGCAATTGACAGGATAAAAAGTCCCGCATGTCGCACAGTGATCGTATCAGGCAGTCCGCTGATAATATGGGCTACCGTTCGGTTCTCTCGGGTCTGTAGCGAGCCCAGGTCCGGTTTTTGAGAACCACACCTGGGGCGGCAATCTACGTTGACACGGCCTGACAGAAAGAAGAACTGAAAATGCGGATAGCACGTAGCTCGACCAATTTATTAAAGCAGTAGGTGTGCGTGTCTGTACAGGATAACGACTGCGTGCATATAGTTTCGCTAAGCATCGATTCCTTAACGAGCAGAATTCCGTGAAATGAGTTAACGAAAACTGTGTAAATCGTGTTCGCTCACGCTTGCTGGCTGCGTTTGATTACGATTGCTAATTGTGCTCTCGTGCTGCTCTCCACATGTCGTTCTTGAGTAGCCTCTCTTGACCAAACCGTGAATGTCTGCCATATTATCGATCACACGCTACCCAGGCCAATATCGCCGACGCAACAGCTTCTCAAGAGTGTGTTCGACATTCTGCGAAAATAACTGAGATAGTTCGTCGTGCGATTGTTCATACGGCGCATCCACGGAGCAGCCTGACATTACAGCGATGCGCCTGGCAGGAGCAGCCAGGTTTCTCATCTCCTTGCATGATCGAGACTTAGGTTTTTCTCATTGCTAGAACTCCTCCTTCTTCTCAGCCCGTGCCTCGAAGTCTTTGTCGAGGTTGCACTCGGCAGGTTAAGGGCAAAACTTGACTTGTTCCCATCCACTGTGGCCACAGCAGGGGTCCGTTTCCGTCATTGTGACGGCTCCACCGCATCCATTTATACTCTTCGGTTCCATGTTATGAACGGGAGAGAAAAGGATAATATGGAGATTTTTTATGAAAACTACCACTAGTCACAACCTGGTCAGTTCTGTGAGGGAAACAGTGTCTTTGTTTATCCTTGTCCTGTTCTCTCGTTGGTTCGTTACGTGGAGCTGAAATAAAGACGAAAAACTCGTGAGTGGATTGGCTCTCAGTCCCCGGCGCGTCATTCACTGCCCGCGTGAAGCCACGCAGCCGGAAGTCGCACCTCTAGGCAGATGACGTCACCACCAGGCCGTGCTGTAAAAACTCGACCAATGACTGAGCACAAAGATGGGGGCTATCTGCCATTCAGTTACCGCAGAATACCCGAGCCCAGGTATGAATAAGACTGGTACAACAGAAGATGCTTTGTTGACCAATCACAAGCCAGAACCACAAGTCAGGAGCCTTCCATCCGAGTCCACCACGCTGGCAACGCCGCTCATTATATACTGCTCGTCATTCGTGTCCTTCTCTGGTTGGCTGGTTATCTTCCTCACTTGCCATTGGGACGCAGAGACACAGGATTAAGTGAGGCCAGGTGGTCTAATATGTCTGCGCCCTGATCCGTCGCTAAACTGCTTCTCTCTCAGAAGTGAAGCTGTCTTCAGCCTCTGGCTTGGTTCTCAGCACTGGTGGTGATTGATAAATATTAAGTTCGACAGTTTCCGACACCCCACATTTGGCAGGATAGTGGCCAGAGCAAATAGTTGACAAGGAATTTCAGTCTTGTAGACTTGCAGGAAGGCTGCTTCATCCATCGTGGGTTCCTTCGTAGTTGCAGTCCGGCTGGGTTCTACTGTATATGTTGTCGTCGCTGAGTTGCCAATGCCTCTCTAGATGCAGTAGTCCTGATCCCGGGCAATGTCTATGGATCCAGTGTATGGGACATCGGATTACCGATATGACAATTTCAGCTGGCATTCAAGGGTCTTTGCCTCTGTTGACCATTTTATGGAAAGGGATGGGGTTCGATTCGCGTTGTTCGAATGCATCCGCTGCCACCAATGTAGAATATCCGAGCCCTAATAGGAAAAAGACCGCTACAACAAAACAGGCTTTATTGACTAACCACGAACCAGAACCGCACGTCAGGCGCCTTCCATCCGAGTCCACGATGCTGGCCACGCCGCTCACTATATACTGCACCTCAGTTGTGTCCTTCTCTGGTTGGCTGCTTATCTTCCTCGCATGCCATTGGAACACGGAGAGACACAGGATTGGCTGCGGCCAGGCGGTCCAATATGTCTGCGCCCTGATCCGACGTCACACCACACCACAGCACCACACTACACCGCATTTACAATTGATCATTTCGGCACCACTTGCTGTGTTGTTTTGTTTTTATTCACCGCTGAGAGGAATTAGTAATTATTTTGTTAGACACACTATAGATTGATAAGTCATAAAATCGATTAACCTTTCAGTGATTCTGTTGTCTTTATTTAAGTGATTGTCTTCAAATGTTACGCGCGCGTGTGTAATAAATTTAGGTAGAATGTCCTGACACTTTAATGCTCTATTTTTTAAGCCAGAATTTGTAACAAAAATGGCCCGACCGACAATTTCCCTCCTTGAAATGTGGGTTGTGAATTTGTTAGTTGTGGGTAGGAGGGTTGCACTTGTTGGATTATAGATTGGTCTACAAAATCCTTATTTAAGTGTTTTGAAATTTTAAAATATGTTTATGTAAGGTTTTACTTATATAATTCTCATGGTCTTAGCGGCGATCAGGTTCCTGTAACGTATGTGATCGTTTATACGAATAACCGATTCTGTAGACAGTCTTAATATTTGAGATTTTCGGATTTGCTTCGCTAGTAACAAATCGCGGTCGCTCCTACACCAAACCATATGGTTAGTCTATGCTGTAGTCGTGCAGATGCATTACAGTAGACAGGAGATAGTCTATCCATTCGAATTGGTAGAGTATACAGTACTTTATTAATACACTTCCCAGTTTTGACACGTTTTCACTTGAGTCACTGGTCGGTGCTTACAAATTGTCGCTGATGAGCCACATTAGCTCAATTTGCCGCGAGCCATTTTACTTCACGTATGATAATATTTTGACCTTAGGTTTTGGTTGTGCATTAAGCTACAATTTAGTATGTACAAGACACTGTTAGAAATGTCAATAGCTACCAGAACTTCAGACTGGACAGCAGCCATTTCCCAGGGGCCCCTGAATTCAGGTCATGGTTGTTCGTCTATTTAATTTATAATCAAAAGAATTTCTTGAATTTAATAGCTCATTTGTGAAAGGCCCGAGCATTTGGCTAGCGCACACGATCTGTACTAGCATCAATCATAGATACTAATGCATTGGCTTACCGTTAAATTACTTTTGTTACATTTTAGTGAAGCCAATCCAAGATGTCAATGTTGGAGGAGATGAGCATTCAGGGTATTCGAAGTTTTGGACCCGAGAATCCTCAAAGAATTAAATTTTCTGCGCCAGTTACTTTGATTCTGGGCCCAAATGGCACAGGGAAGACGGTTTGTGATGCCCATTCTGTAATATGTTTTAGACCATTATTGAATGTCTAAAGTATGCGATCACTGGCGAGTCCCCACCTGGTTCCAGGAATGGGGCATCTTTTATCCATGATCCCAAGGTGAGCGTTTTCTATTCCATATCCCTGTTTTCTGTTTCTTTTATTCATGCCCTGTTTTCTCGTATGCATCATAGCTGACACGATCTGTGGAGGTTAAGGCCAAGGTTGCGGTCAAGGCTAAGGATGTAAAAAACAGTCCTCTCATCGTCTCACGCAGCCTGGTTGCTACACGACGTGGAACGGTACGCACAACCCTCTTTGCATTCGTCGCATTTATACTTTTATCATTGTTTTGGTGCGAGCACGTCGCATTCTGTGGAAATCTATTAAAACCATTATCATAGTACTTATCTATTAAATCGAGAACCTGAGTGGCTATATCATCCGGCATTGAAGGAAGCAAGTTCCTAATTGTGGTTGTCCTATGCAAATGTGATCATCAAATTTAATTTTCCTTTGGGAAGCCGGACAGGAGACAATGCAATAGTATTGACACGGTACAGTGTAAAGGTTACCAAAGCTTAGAAAATTAAATTGTCAAATTGTGTTCCTACATCATGAGCGTAAACTTATCACAAATTGGAAACTGTAAGTTCTTATAGTTGCAGTGATAACACTTTCCCGACTGCAATAACTTATAAATCATTAGTGTCTTAATTAAAAGAACAGCAAATTAAGACCAGCCCAACTGGATGCATGGCTACTAGAACACTTTCCCTAACAGAGAAAAGCGCTTCCAGTCAATGGCTTGATGGGGTTGGTGTTGTTGCATAAACTAGGCGGGTTAAATGGTATGTCTGGAAGCGTCCATGCATGTGCATATGATTGCCTTCTCCCGTTTGCCCATAACTGCCCTTGTCTGTTGCTCTGCATCACGCAATAGGTGGAATCAGGCGTCCTCGACAATCTGTACAAGTAACTTCCTTTATGTGGCCATTACCTGTTAAAACTTCAGGGATCCTCGTTTTCGCTCTTATCTTTGACCGGTGCCCTGGAAATATAATAAATGTGCGCTTTTTACTTCCTGACGCTGGTTAACCTGTGTACTTATTGGTTTTTTATGGTCGCAGGCAAAGCAGCCCACTCTGAAGACTTTGGACGGAACAATAAAGAGGCTCACTCCGACAGGCCAAACAGTCAGTCTCAGCTCGCGTTGCGGTGAAATCAATAAAGAGGTGGTTAGCCTTGTAGATACAAATTTTGCTTGACACCTCTTAATATTGTAATCTTGTTCGATTAATGAGCTCGGTTGCATGTTGGTAATTTACACCAGGTGAAATAACAAGATCAGTGTTTTCATCTACTTAGCATGTAGTTCGTTATTAAGTCTTTTGCACTTTTCGCTGTTGGCTCCCCCTTTAGATGGAAAACAGTCTGGGAGCTTCAAAAGCCGTTTTCGAAAATGTAATTTTTTGCCATCAGGAGGAATCGAATTGGTAAGTGGTTGCACAGCATCATAGGTGCGTAGGCCGCTGCAAGAAGCAAAGGCCGTGAAGGAGCGCTTCGACGATCTTTTCGCATCTTCTCGTTATGTCAAGGCCCTTGATGCTATCAGAAAGTCTAGAATCAGTCAGGTGGGTGTTTTTTTATATTATCATAAAATAATTATTTTAAATAAGTCACGATCCTCTTGTTTTCCAGAATGAAAATGTTAAGGTTTTCCGGGCTGAATTAACTCACTTGAGTCGGTCTAAAGAGGAGGCAAACAAGGTTAGTTTAAGCGCACACGTTATAACAGGTTCTCAACCAGTGCACCTGGTTTGGTTCCTGTGTTTTACCTATACCGAGTAAGCTGGCCGTTAATCGCATCAATTACTTTTCAATTGTGTTCGAATCTTGTTCTCACAATCCAGCTTAGAGGTCAGGCACTGGACACAAAGTGCGCCCTTAATTCTCAAATGCAAGTTCTCGCGGAAGTTGACAAACAACTGGATCCAGTGACTGTGGGTATTTTTTCTTTTGTTGCTTTTTTTCGAAAAAGTGAATCTCCTTACATTTAACTATCCTCTCCAGGCTGAATTAACCCTTTATCGGAAGAAATCCGCGGATTTGGTCAACTATCAATCTGAAGCTCGTACGTCATGGCGTAAATGTCTATCATCGCCATTCGTGGCGCCATACGTTTTTGCAGCCGTAATACATTAATGTAGTTATGCTGAATTTTTTTAACTTTCGTGATTTGTGGAGCACAACTTGTAGACTTTTAAGGGCCATGGTGTGTTCTCTCGAACCACACCAAGGCCGACGCGTTACATATTCCCGAGTATGCAACAAAATACCTGGGAGGTCTAGGAAGAACGCGGATGACGGAGGCAATCGTTTACTAGCTGGCTCAGCCCAGTTCTGATATTGTCGTGTGTGCTTGATGCTGTTGATCAGTACGTTCTGACTGTACTTGTCAAAGTACGTTCGCCCATATTGTGCATGCACTACGGCGACCGCGCGACGCATCCACACACAACTCGACTGAACTGTCTAGCCGTCTGCCATGTCTGTTACTCTACGTGTCTTCTTGGACATCTGAGTGGCGTGAATGGGCCACTTCGACTTTCCAATGCACGTACAAATGACTGAGTGACCATGCGACTGAAACAGGCTGCGGGGGAGATACATGCAAAGGAATGCATCAGAAGATGGTTCTGTTTGATTGACGGGCCCTCTGTAAAGAATGGGCAATGTATCGGAGTTTGTGGAGACCGGGTCAATGGACGTGAATCAGCACAATTCACTCCACACTGATCGGTAGGGCATTGTTGTTGATTCACGTCCAATAACCCGGGCGTCGCAGCTTTTAGCATACGTACCCCCTTGTCACGGTGTGCCCGTCAGTCACGTGAGGCTGCTGGTTCATCAACCCATCTGCATGTACCACCACCACCCGCTTTAATCATGTGACCTCACGGACGCCTTTTTTCCGTGTCCACTCAACTGCATAAGTACACGACACAGCTGTTGAGCTATCTAGTGAGCGGTTGTGCCTGCCATCCCTGAGCTTATTTCCTTCCTGGGTTACTTCGTGTTGTAAAGGGCCTCAGCAGCATATTGCTGTCCAAGATTTTGGCGCAAGCTCCATGCGCAAAAGGGATTTTCACCCAAAATGTTGTGGACAATTGCGCGTCCGGCTCTGGACTTACAAAAGTAGGGTTGAAATTAACACTTTTGTGGACCTTTTAGGTTCGTGTGCAGCGGAAAAAGCGAGCTTGGAGGCCGTTTTCAGGGATTTGTCAAAAAATATTGGCAAGGAATTTGAAGGTACGGATTAGGCGTTCTCAGTAGGCGCCTTTTTGTCCCTTTGTCCCAATTCCCCTGGTTATTGGATACTGTAAAGTATACACTGCTCTAGGGCACAAATCCCGGTTACTATTTATTGCTCAAGAAGTCTTACCCGGTATTTGATGATCCAGCAACTGAAGCCCGCTCGTAGGATTTGTAGCTTTCTGGATTACAGGCCTCACTTGTCAGCGCAGTACATTTTGACTGTACCAGTCGGTACGTTCAAGTAAATGGAATACTTAGCGTTCAAGTGCCACCCCTTCTGGTGAAGTGGTTATTCATAAATGGGAAATATTAATTACTGCTAAATGTATCATCTTTGCGACGGTGAGTGGGATGATTCACTACTGCAAACCTACTCCCAGTCTTAAATTCGCAAATGGGACCCAAAATAGGTTCTAATCTTGTTTTTAGGAACGGATGCAGAATTGAACAATGCAATTGAGCACGCCGAAGAGCAGTTGTTGGAAAAACAGCAGTCGCTTGTGATGGCGGAGGGTGAATTGAAGCGTCATCAGACAGAACTTGAAGCCAACGAGAAGAAGAGGTCGGAGCTCATTGTCCGAAAAACTCAATTAGATGTTGAAGTAAAGGTCAGTGGTCAATTTAATGTACATCATCGAGTTAGCTCCTCCTGTTTAGCAGACACTCAAAGCGTTTCGCCTTGAAACTGCATGTGGGGGCTTTCTAAAGTTAATGCAGGAACTCCAGGGCTTGTCAACGGAATCAGTTAGTTTTCCGGGCGATTATTTTTGCTCTTGAGACTTGTGATTGTCGTGTCCAATTGTATTGTTGAAGAACATGCCTTATCGCCGTGGCGGGTAAAGGGAGACTGTTTAATGAGACGTGCAGGTCTAATACGAAAGGAGGAATGGCGAGCCGTGTTTTGCGTCAATTCAGGCGTGGGATAGGCCAAACACCAAAAGCAAACTAGAAGAATACCATTGTAGGTAGAGCGCTTCCGCGACCAGTCCGCAGAACTGAGGCGGCCTTATGTTCTTCAGCAAATCTCTTACATGGTATGGAAATAATCACGTCCTGGAGTCATATTGGCAAATTGTTGGTAGTTATTTTTGTCCTGGTTACATTCGTGTTTTTTTTTGCAAAAAATCAAGTATTTTTAGGCAATTTGAGTGAAATGGGAAACTAATTGCCCTTTTTTTTAGCCAAATAGATCGAACGATGTATTACTTTTCTAGAGAATGGATCAGACTGTGCAAAAGCGTAATGAGCTCTTGGGTCGGCTAGCTGCACGCTTTGAACTTAACGGTAAGTCGTGTGCAAACCATCGGAGCCAGGTTTGTGTCAGGTCTGAGGCACCTCTGACTTATTTTAATTCTAGGAATCTCTCAAAAGTGTGCTCTTGGTAGTGACATTTCCACCGATGAGGTGGACGCAGTACATCAACATTTGAACAGGGCCCTTCGTGAAGCTGAAACTCAGTTATCCCAAACGAAGGTAAATTGCGTTCACCAGAAACCAAACAATTACTTCATGACCCGAAATGGCACATATTTTGTTTTAAGGCCTCCACGGAAGCAAATAGCCAGAAGGCTCAGAAGGCTGTTGACGAAGCTCGCTCAGCCCTGGTTCGAATGGAGCAGTCTATTGCAGGTCTTGAATGCGCCATGGTTAGCTTTCCTCCACACCTTAGCACCAAACTCTTACAACGTTCATTTAAACAGGCCTTGTTTTTGTAGACGGACAACACAACAGAAATTTCTGCCGTTAAAACGAACTTGGAACGGGCTAACGCTGCCACTGGCGAATTGGAGACTGTTAGCAGCAAATTGGCGGAAGCTGTAAAGACAACTAATTCAATTACCTTTTGTGTTCTAGTATTGGCTCATTTAAATGATTTGTTTGGGGAAAATGTATGACACTCTGCATCAGCTCCAGCAGATATGTTTTAAAGTGTTTCCAGAATTCACCATCAGACGCAACTGCCTCGTCTGAAGGTCTGTGCGCGGTCACAAAGTAATGCCTTAGTTTCTGCTGAATGGGACGCAACTCAAACTGTTTGACGTGATACAATGTCATAATTTCTATGCCAATCCCTTTAAACAAGAATAACCATCCGTGATCTAAGTACGGCTTATGCTGCTCGGCGCTTCAACGCCTACTAATTACGTAGTAAAACGTGCAAAACTGCTCACAATTTGTAGGAGAGGCTGGTGCACTAGGTTAGTGAATTGGCCTTGTGTAAGTACGCATAGTTGCGGTTGCTTCGCTCCAGACGCATTTGCAAGGACCTCCATGCGTTAGTCATCAATGATGTGTCCTGCGCTCCACATTTTGTAGACTCCGGTGCTTTTGGGTTCGTGCTGTTGTATCTCTGTATTTGCAAAGACAGGAAGTTGTTTGTTTAATCATTAATGTTATTTTTGTGATGCCAAATTCACCAGAGCATAATTGCAGTTGTTTCGAGATCCGCCCCCCGCGCCATTACAATTAAATACCTGTCATCGCGGATCGAAGTCCACCACAACTGTTAAATACACCAAGTTTTGTTAACCGGACACATGACAAATGTGCTCATTTAGTGCACCTGCCTAATTATCCTTCCAGAAAAAGGCTCGCGAGCTGTTAGAGGCTTCTATGAGTGAGTCGGAGGTAAAGAGCTCGATTCAGAAGGCAGAGATCGAGCGCAGCGTCTGCGAAACTGACATGGCGTTGCTCGAGTAAGTGGCTTCAACCTGCTTTTCCGCAATTTACGCTGTTGTTTTTGAGCATTTGGCTTTTAGTGCCCAGATTGACGAGGCACAGCGCAACGTAATGAAGAATCATGAAATAATTGTGTTGGAAAGAAACAGGAATGCCGCAATTGAGAAGGCCAGGAAATTGTGAGTATTGTATGCGTAAAAATTAGCCTGTGTTGCTTTGCAATTACTCCTTGCTTATGCTTGCTTTCAGGCGTAGTCGTCAATTGGAGTCGTTGGAGCAGATTTTTGCCGGAGAAATTGTCCCCGCTGTGGTGGTTGATGAGTCTCAGACGTCCTGCAGTCTTGCAAAATTGTTTAATTCACGTTTTACCGAATTAACCTCTTCTTCTAAGGCTGCTCAGCACAGTCTAAACAAATTGCAACAGCAACTCTCCAAGTTGGAGATGGAATTGTCATTCCAGAGGTAACGAGTTTTGATAATTATTTTTAAGAAATCAACTTCGCGAAAAACAAGATGAAATGAGACAAATGGAAGAACGTCTGCTTTCAGCCTGCGGTACCGTGGATGTGGAACGGCGCTTGGAAAATGTAGCCACAAGAAAAGAACAAGTTGAAAGGTAGATAATCTGCGTGTTGTGAAGCTGTAGCACTGAAATTTGAAAATTGCGCATACTTTTAGCATGGTAAACTGTATGTAAACCTCGACAGTTTTCCTATCGATTGTGGCCTAAAACAATGCAGCCTAAATACCACACCTTTGTTAGGCCGTTCGCAGAAACTGTCTGCTTGTTTTTTAAGGGTTGTTGCAAAAAGTTGCCAATTTTCCCCATTTCGCGCGTTTGTTTGCACTTGCGGCTCGTTGGCCCATCATCTCAGATTTTGGTGGCAATTTTCGCTTGACATTACTTAAAAATGTAAGCGGCCACTCGCACTTTGTTTTTAAGAATTTACTTCTAGGCCATTAAAATCATACACGCACACACACACACACTTATGTCCTTTAATGTAGCGGCTACTTTAGTCACAATGCACAGTAATCTTCGAATTCGATCTCTAGCTCAGCCACCAGGTGGGTAGTTTTGCGAAAACTTATGTTTTGGACTTAATTCCACAAAATATGTAATTTTTCAACGGGAAAACGAATGCCTAATGTCGATTTACTAAGCATTGGCTGTGTTAATTTTTGATATGAACACGAGTTTAATCGTGATTCCTTTACAGCGACTGTGCTACTGAGGAGGGAAGCCTGTATTTGTGGAAGAAGTTTCGTGACCGCCTTTCTCACGAGTCCGAATGTCCACTGTGTCACAGAAATTTTGAAAATGAACAGGATCACCAGGAGTTAATTGAGGAGGTACAGAAAAAAATGAACATTTTTTGCTTACGATTATAATTGTTACCATCATTTCATACAATTATCTTTGGTAATTTCAGCTTGATAAGCGTCTTGTCACAGTGCCCCACGATTTGGCCGCTAAGAGGAAGGAGCTTCAACAAATCGTGGCCCAATACGAGACACTCATTGAACTAAAACCAGTCAGCGTCAATGTAGATTTTGCTGTCAATTTCCATTAGCATTATTTTAGCTTTTGCAATTAAAAGACTCAGAATTGCCTGCCTTAGAAGGTCAAGTTCGGACTATCCAATCTCGGCTCGAGGAACTGCAAAGCAAAATTGAACAGGTAATGACAACTTGTCACCTTTGCATTTTCTTTTTAAGAAAACACTACTTTTGTTTCCTAACTCATTCTAGGAAACGTCGAAATTGGAATGCATTCAGGCCGATGAATCTGTCGCTCGATCACTTCAGGGCGATATAGCCTTCATAGAGAAGTTGGAGAAGGAGATAGCAAGCCAAAATCGTTCTTTGAAATTGCTTACAGCAGCGCCTGAAGGCACAGGTACCCACGTCGATAAGCCTGTGAATCCAATCATTTTGACTTCTGTTAGTCTATTGGCTTATTTTAATGGATTAAGGGTCAGAATCGTAGCAGAGGAGTACTGTAGACATCTCAATATGCTTGAAGCACCTTCCCGTGTTTGCTATATTATTTCACGTCAATCCTATTTGCCTAAATTTCATTCGAAGTGTCCTGTGTGCAGAAATGTTACTAACAAACCAATCCAGCATCCAAGAATAGCATAAACGCCAAATATCTCGAAGGTTGCAAAATTATTTATCAAAACTCAGTGTTTTCTGCCATTGCAGCACCCAACCTTGTTCCAGACCTCCAGGAAAAGCGTAATGAGCTACGCGTCAAACGGTAAGTTACTTCATGTCTTCAACTTGGGCTCTGATAGCAACAATCTTTCTGCGGAAATTGATGACTTGCGCACCAAACTGGAACAGAAGTTGGCCGAACGTCAGAAAGCAGTAAATAAAGAGAATGAGCTGAGGAATACCCTCCTCAACGTAAGTACTGTGTTATCGACCGTAGTATATTAGTACTTTTGATTTGTTGCAATTTTAATTTTGCACTTTGTCGCCTGTCCTGTCTGATCACCTGCGTGCAACACTAGTATTCCATTTTGTCCTCAAGTTAAACTAGCAGTTTGTCGTTTTAACGCGCTGAGGGCCGAATTATACGTAAAACCATGCATGTCTGACGTTTCCTCAGACTCGTACGGTTTTGGGTTAGTTGGATCACTGGTGGCATAGGCTAAACATGCTTTATATCCGACCGATAGTCTAATCTAGGCTTATCACACGAGTGGCGCTCTACCAACGCAGTCAGCCTTTATTTTATTAAGACTTGGGTTATTGACGGATGGTCGTATCCCAACGTTCTCAGATTATGTCATTCTGAAGACTTACTACAACTTGTTTATTAAACAGCATTTAACAGGAGGAAGGTTGTCAAAAGTTAGACTTTTGAGGTGGTGGCTTTGTAAAGCAAAACACCCATTTACCTGGTCTCTCACGTTCATTCGCACTTTATTCATCTTTTTTAACCATTTAATTTGCTGGTGTGTTCCAGTGTTTACGTAGAGACCCGTCCTTGTCATGAGCGCTGACCGTAATTTAACTCACAAAACAAGATTAATTCATTTACTAAACTCGAGCAAATGAAGGTGATGCTGGTGTACCTCAGAAATGCGAGGAACTGAACTCAAAATAAACATTGTGGTGGTTATCCGAATTCAATTTAAAAAAAAGGTGACTGTAAAACAGATTGAAGAAGTCCCATTTTTATAAGCTAAACGATGTGTTTGGTGTAATACAAAAGCCGTGTAGCATTTCCATCTTGTTGCTTTTTTATCGCAGCTCGAAAAGGAGTTCCAATCGGTGACCCACTTGAGGACTGAGCTCAACCGACTCACATCGGTACGGGCTCGTGTTAGTGGAGAGCTGGAGGTTCTGCGTGGACAACTGCCCACCTGCAGGTCAGCCCTTGATGCGGCCGAAGCTGAAAAGCAGAGCGTTAGTGCGGCGGGGAAGAAGCAAGTGGCCGATGCTCTGGCCGAGGTGAGTAGTCGTTTAGTTTTGTTGACTTGACCGGATGCCATATTACGCCAAAAGAACTCGTGACACTTTGCATCGTGTCCTCTTTACCCTTCCTCACGTAATTAAAAGTAGGAATCAAAATGCACATGCGTAAGTTCTTGATCTATTCAAATGTCTGCACCACTACAAGAATACTGTCTCAAATGAAGTGACATTTCTAGGCGATATGCGTTCCTGTCGTATTCAAACGTAAGTAGTTGGTGTGTAGACGTGGGTTGCATTGCTATTTAACTGGCTAAAGACCCCTAAAAGTTCTCTCTTCAAATAAAGAAAACACAATACTTGTACCATTTTAGTGGATTCTAAGGTGCTGTAGGCCTGGACGATTTTTCCTTAAATCAGGGAATACTCTGGGCTATATCCAGAGTGTTGCCCGAGCAAGGCGAAGCGACTACCGAGCTGTCAACTGAAGCCGGATACCTTTAAAACGCTTCCTTCGCGTTCATTGGAAACCTCTTGGATTTGGCTGGAAAGAGTTCCTCTTTTGTTAGTGGCACGCTTGTATGCAGGGGCTCATATAATGTCAAGTTTAAATTGAGATCGGTTGTGGCCGTCCGGTGTAGCATTGTCGAAAATTTACTAATCTTCTGGAATCACATCAAATTCATAGTTTAAGCCGTTGTATATTTTTCGAGTTCCTGTTTAGAAAGTAGGTCGATTCGCCTTCCCTTTCAAGCATATTGTTCAGTATCCCATGACTTCAATGAGCACTTTCAACCGCTTGAAAATGCATCAAATAAATGACGGGACAATGGTGGTCAGTTCTACGGAACGCGGAATTTTTTTTAATAAAAACGCAGAATTGTGACCTTTTGTGGCTTTTCCAGTGGCAACTGTGGACCGACCAAAGCCGTCAGGTTGTGGAGGCGTGTGCGGCAGCCACCTTCAGAGGCGTGGATGCATCCTGCGGTGAACATCCGAAAAAGCAGCTTGAGCGTGTCACAAATGAACTTTCCGCTTTGGATGGCGTCGTTGGAGAGCTTAAGCTTGCTATTGAAAATACCTCAAATGTAATTGAAGCTCTCCGCACTACCGTCGCTAATAACAAGGTATTAAACTGTCAATGATAAGGCCATCTTGTTAATGCAGTAGGCGATTTTTTCCGTCGTTGCGGCACATTTTAATGCGACATTAAGGCCCGTTTGGTAATTGGATAGGAACGCCCTAAAATGTTTTACATTTTTAATTCGTCAGCTGTTTTCAACCTTTCTGTTAGTTCATTGACGTGTCTTGGTTGTATTTCGCAAAACGTTTATTTGTCTCAACTGTTCTTGTTGTATTTATGCCCCACGATCGCATGAAAGTCCAATTAAGAAGAAAGGATATGTTTAGTCGTACTCCCTTTAGTTCATTCTCTCACTACAGCGCTATTGCGCATCGTAGCTTGGCGGCTTTCAATTTTTCAAGCTTCAGCTTTTAGGCATAATCATTGGAAGATTTTGTTCAAGTGAAAGATTTTGTCATATTTTATTTGCCTGTGTAGCACACTAAACCATTTTCATCCTAAATTTCCGTTGTGTAGTCCGCTGAAATTCCAACAGCGTTTTCTGTGTATTAATCCAACATTTTTTATTTTGCTTCATTTCCTGTAGATATTTCAACGCGAACTAGAAGACTGCGTGCTCTTACGACAGACACGAAGTCAGCTGTCTTTACTCAATGTGCAGGTTCAGGAAATTCAGCGAAAAATAGATGCCTGTAAATCTGGTATCCCTGAGTCTGCAGATCTCGTGGAGTACGTTAGCCACCTATCCGACAAGGAAGACGGGCTCCGCAAGCAGGTAACGTTGCTCCTCCTCACTTGGTCTTCGTAATTTTGATAATTGAGGGGTCAACTGCGATCAGTAGAATGTAATCGCGTCGTTTTTAATCATGCTCTAATACCAGTGGCACTTGTAAACAACCTTATTCTCAGTGGGAATGCAGGTAAAGTACATTCAGGTAGGCTGAGTTTCATTCCTTTCTCCCAAAAATCGCATTTTTCACAAGTAATTTTTAGTTATCGAATGTAATTTAATTATTTTGATTGGAAGACCATATCATAAAATCTGACACAGGTGAACTGATCTCCGTTCAATCGGATACCAGTAATCTCCAGTCATATTGCTAACCTAGAAGGTGTAGCTTCTGAAGTCTCCAAATGTTAATGATTGTTTGTAATCTGATTTCAAATTTAACGTAAGACACTTGATGCAAGAAATGTGGGGGGGGGCTTTTTGAATACAAATTTTGTTTCTTTTTGGGATTCTACTGTACCAAGTTCATAATGGGTCAGTTTTTTTATGTGATGCAAATACTATTGGTGTGGCTTCTCTATAATTTAAAACACTTATTCGGTATTTGTGATCTCAGGAACATGGGAAATAAGAGTTTTCTACAGTAGATAAATAGACTCAAACAACAAGGTCCTCATCTTATTATTGCTTCCTCTTTCTGATTTAGTTTTCTAGCGTCTCATTTAGCATGCTAAAAGGTTTCGGAATGTTTTGCAAACTACCACCTTGTGCATCAAATGTCAGCAAGGCAATGGTCCAGCACCTCTCACCCCCTTTTTATCTATCTGAAGTCAGGGTGAATTCCAAAAATCGCAACCTTTAATCAACTTATTCCCTGGCAATAATGGAGTGTCAGCTCTAGAGTCCTTGTGGTGTCTTTCATGAATGCGCTGCTCCTTCTGTTTACACAGAAATGACTGCTAAATCACTAGAATGAATAAAAATGTGGGTTCTGGGTTTCACGAGGGAGCCTCAATATCACAAATGCATAATTTAAAATAAAGGCACGGTCGATGTCTACGTGAGGAAGTATTGGTTTTATTTGGGACATTTTGGTCTGTTGATGTAATCTGTGACTGTTTTAGTGAGTTAATTTATCTGAACATGAGAACCAGAATATGACTCCTAGAGGATGCCCATTGTCAGTTTGTTTTGGTAAAGTGAATCGAAAAGCTATGCACTTTACCTAATTAATATTGGGAAGAATAAAACCGAAATCGCATTGTATTAAGAATGTATGGAAGCCACTTTGCATGAATTTTTTATCCGGGCCGTATGTTTCTAATCATATCTCTGTCCTATTGCACAATTTAAATCCTTATTGCTTTTGCAGAGACAAGTTGTCAATGACAGAATCACACGGTTGCAGACTGAATTGCGAATGTTGGAATGCAGCTTGTCGGAAAAGTACGCCGATGCTGAAACTGAGTACATGAAGAAGATGTATGAGCTCAAGGTAGGGAAGCTTGTAATCACGGAAGTAACTCCCTTGTTGCCTGTCACAAACACTCACAATGTTGTTCCGGACTAATTGCCACTTTTAAAGCGATTCAAGTTGTATGTATTGTTCATGGTAGTGAAAATTGGCTTTTGCAGTTTTTTTAATCGTTAGTATCGTGTTCTTGGGACGATCTCGTTGTGAACCTAATTCTTAGTGTGCGCATACTGGTTTCTGTTAGGTTTGTTCTTTTGTCCACCAAAGATAAGTCGTATTAGCAGTAAGAAGCGAAATTTTGTCATATTTTTGACGGTAGGTTTCAACCAGGGTGTAGGTAACAACGCCTCAAACACCGACAAATAGATTTGCCAGAATCGAAGACACCAAAGACAATCCGGAATGTTTAAACTATGAGTATTACAACAGTAAGTAAATAGTAAATGTATGCAACAACTATGGGCGCTTACTATTAGTTGAACTTTGAGTAGTGTTTCAACAAAGCTCGTGTAGTCAAACAAAGGCCTAAACGGAAATAACATAACAGATTTTACACAGGGTACACCCAAAAATAATGGTGTCATGAAAGTTTATACAAAAAAATGCCTTTTGGTTCCATTTTACACTGATGACACTAAAACGACCGACCCTCTGGTTCTCCGGGCCGCATTATTTTAGTGGTACTGACGTGGTGCTATCGGTTGAGTGCCTCCCAAAATGCGCATAATTTGGTTAATGTTTTAAAAGTACTATTAACAGATTTTGCGTCTTAAGAAGGCAAATGTGTACTATTGTCAGCGGATTTTGTTGAGACAGTTTGCATGAATTAATCATATTCAAGAACGGAGTACATTACCATAATCAATTATTGTAATGATTATTGCCTGGTTTGTAAGGGGAACTGCTATAAACGGTTGAATCTTCACAGCTACGCATGCAGTGTTATGTCCATTTTCGTCTAATTGGCTATAACTGGGTTTAAAATATGGTTAATTAACACCAGTCAAGGTTCTTGCGAAGTTCACGACTGACTCACTACCTAGAACCACCTTTTTTTTTAAATTGTCTTTACACAGAGTCTCCCACTTTATTTAATGCTCTCAGAGCTCAGAATGCATAGGTTCTATCTCTGGAGACACAAGCCCCGAGCACAGTCGTTATTTTGAATTAATGGTCTTCCAAAACTATTGCTTCTATGTTTGGGTAAACAAATGCGTCCCATTTTAATATCCTCACTTCAATGTATTAGTCCCTTCGCAGTTTGGCAAAGGCAAAAGCGCTACCATTTGATCGGTTTGTTCACTCACGTATTCACGATCTCCTTCACAGTTTTATCTGAAAATCGAGTTTTCTTCGTAAGGCCTATTACATTAATTAACAAATAATTAATGAGCAGCTTGGTCCCGTATCTCAATCATACACAAACATTTTAATTTTTGTGGATTTTGGCTTTAGATCGCCGAACTAGCGGCCACTGATCTCCAGCATTTTCATGAAGCACTTGATCGGTATGTCGAGATCCTTCCTTACCGTCTCTGTTAACTTGCTTCATGGTGCACTTTTCAACATCTATTTGTCAGGGCAATTATGGCGTATCACACGGAGAAAATGGATGAAGTCAACGAACTAATCCGGGATTTGTGGCGAACGACATATCGAGGAAACGGTAAAGTCTCCCTTTTTTGTGAACTCTTGAATTAATGCACGATGTGATTTTAGTATCGTATCAAGGCTACGAAATTGCCGTTTAAACTTGCAACCACGCTATATTGCAAACCCTAATCGCTGCTTTTTCATCCCTTTCCACAAGAAGAGACATTTTAGGCATCAGTACCTCAGGCCTTTTGGCTCAATCACTAGTAATTAACTTGGGGTCTAAGCATCTGTCACACAAAATAAAAATCCGGATTTCAAGCTCATATTCTGCACTCACAAACCCGGCTTTAATGTATATTGAACCCTCCAAAATCAGACTATTTTCTGTGGATTAAGCACTGTAGGTATCAGCGCGAATCGTATTTTCTGATTCTTAACATACTAAGTATCGTTACGCTGCATGAAAGGTAGAGGACCGAAGTTACTCAGAGTAGTTATCATCTACTATGGTAACCTGTTCCCATTAAAGTAGTTAGTGTAAAATATCGTCATTGCAACCCAAGCTTCTCGATAATTCTTTGTTTTTGTTACTTGTCTAATCCAGACATAGATTACATAAAAATCTGTAGCGAAGAGGAGCCCCTATCAGTGGCCGCAAATGCTGCGAAAACTCGGCGGACGTACAACTACCGCGTTGTGATGGTGAAGACGGGATCTAGTGCTGCTGATATGGGTTTCTCAGCCGTAGGCAGCAAACAGGCGCGGGTCACTTCGACAGAGACACTGCTGGACATGCGCGGTCGTTGTTCTGCCGGCCAAAAAGTACTCGCCAGTCTGGTGATTCGTCTGGCATTGGCTGAAGTCTTTTGTCTTCAATGTGGTGTGCTTGCGTTGGATGAGCCGACCACGAATTTAGACCGCGAAAACATCGAATCGTTGGCGTATGCCCTCACCGAGTAAGTCTCGAATTTTCCTTACTAATATTACAAACTGTCTAAATCATACATTGTACCTATTTTCGTTGTTGCATTGTGTAAAACTATTCACTTCTTGTTAACTTCATCTTAAACTTGCGTTTTATGACGTCTTTTCTGTGCCTGACTACGAATTTCTGATTTAATTTTGCATAATGTACTCGTTTGAGTAGGTGTGGTGACAGGAAACTCGTTCGGACGTGTCTGTAGTGCTTTCTGGGTGAAGGTCTTCAGTTTGTTCTATCAATTTCATCGTTTAATTTAGACTTACGAGTCCCTGATAATCGAGGTTCCAAAAGTTGAGCGTTTATCGCGCAGAGGAATATGCTGCTTTCTGTAACCATTATTTCTGCCACAAGAGGCTATAGTGCGCTCTTTACCAATGCAGATGATTTGATTTGTGCAAGTTCATAGTGGACTATTTTTTGTTTATGCAGGATCATCAAAACTCGGTCAAGTCAACGAAACTTTCAGCTCATTATTATCACTCACGATGAAGACTTCATCGAACTTTTGGCGCGAGCTGGTTGCGGCGGCCACCTATTGCGTCTTGTGCGAAACCTAGAGTGAGTTACTTTTTGTTAAATCTGCTTTTTGTGTTTCTAATTGTTCTTGTTTTATGTGAATTGTAGTTTTCTAGGGCCGTTGTCAGTGCTTCGATGCGCTCCAACGCCGCCACGACTGGGTAGATAGTTTACTATCAAGTGGTTTTATTCATTGGATAACTTAAGCCTCACTGGCTAATCCACCTCAGGTCATTTGAAACTCCACTCCAACACTTATCATGAGTCGAAATTTACACAAGGTCGTTTCGTTCGATTTACAAGTCCCAATGAAATCAAATCCAAAATAAGTATGATAAGCCCCGCTTTCTTATTGATCGGCCTTACAATATAGGAGTTATTGACCGTCTTTGTGTTGAAGTTTGGACCCTGCCAATGTGAGTTTTATACTAGGCGTACAGATATGTGTCTGTTAGGCCATTTTGAACATTGTAAACTAAAACCAGACCTCAAAATACCTCAACGAGCTGCAAATTCGTGTTTTAGCCTCGTGGATTTGAGTGGGACTAGAGGAACGGTTCCTCACGAAAAGTGCAACCACGTCCTTATTTCCAGGTGCAATTGTTTGATGTTGCGTGAAGCGTATTCCATACTCAATCACGGGCTTGCGTGCATGTCGAGGTTCCTCAAAGCTACTTTATGCGAAAGTTAGAATTTGGTCGTCCAATAATTCAAGTTTCAAATTAAACAAAACAGGAAGGGAAATATAAAAAGAAGCCGGTTTGGTAAAAAGTCGGTGCTTGAAGTCGGGTTGAATTTGAATGCGCTGTGAAGTGCAGCTCCTGGGCAATGTGATATAGCCCTTATAAATCCTCGTTGATCTAAGTTTTCCTGTTGGTTGGTTAGTGACGTAATTGTGTAGAAAGAAGTTTAATAGTTCTGAACGGATGCGGTGAGACGTTAAAGCTTCGCCCAAGTCGACTTCCTCTTTCTTTGCTTATGCAACTTTATGCGTTCATACAGTGCAATGCTTGACCAATCATGTCTTTCCTGTTTTAGGGGCCTTTCTGAAATTCAGAACTTGCGAATTGAAGACCTAATTCATTGAAGAGCTTATGCATTTTTTTTCACATTTCATGTTGGCGGACCCAGTGCACAGATTTTATAAAAGATCCTGTTACGTCTTGCGCAATCACATCGCTTAATTTGGGTTCAAACGCCTGATTAGGTGGTATGCGGTATTGTGATCCAATTGAAAAATCACATTCAGCACATGCAAATACAATCGTATAATTTTCATAGTAAAAAGGTAATAGTAATTCATTAAGTGCACATGGACAGGCTGGGATAGAAGATGAAGGGTTTCAGGAAGCGAGGTTCCTGTCAAAGGAGAAACAGTTCTCTTGACAAGGCACGCTGCAATAAAAGCCAGTTGAGAATAATTAAAAGAGGAAATTGACAACAGCGTAGAGAGCTCCGTCTTATTTCTTTTCCTGCGTCAGGCTGGTTTTGCTCAGAAATGCGGTCAGGATGCGTTTGACTTTTTCTCAGCTGACAGAGTTTGTAGTGCTGATGATAGTGCATTGCGCCACCTAAGGAACGAAGTTGCTTGTTGCTGTGTCAGCACGAAATCACAAATTGTACAAGTGGACAACACGCGCTTCGATTGGGCCCTATTGATTTCGAGAATCGTCAACTTAATTTCATGTTAGCTCCTTATTGGTCCCGAAGAAACTCAAACATCCTCTAGGTCGTTCAGTAATGCCCTGGGCAGCTTTTTGTTATTCCTTTTTAATATTCCGGGTATAAAGAGCGTTAATTTCTAGAGGTGGTGAGGTGTGGGTAAAACGAAATTAGATTAATTTGCCCCATCAAATTGTTGTGTACCCTTACGGCTGATGTCACCGTAGTGTTGTAGGACAAGTGTACGGTTTCGTAGGTGACAAACGATTCAGGTCGAGGGTCTTAAAATTCAATTATCGAGGGAAATGGCTTTGTCCTACCATAGCGATAGCATTCCTTTGCGTTAGTAATCACAGGGCAATTGCGCATAATGTAAGGCTGCCCTTTGGCTAGTATTCTGATGTACAGTTTGTATGATAAAATGCGGCCTTTTTTCTACCTGAAGGAAGCTCACCTTTCAAATGAGACGGGGCCATCGGTTCTAAAGTAGTAAATGTGCGATTTGTAAGCCAACTGGAGAACATTGAGCTTATGTAGTGGAGCGTCTGCTGAGGTAGCCGTCAGTCGTGTCGACTCAAGCCGATAACCTAGCAAGGGAAGGCTGGCGATCGGGGTAAAGTCTTCCGCAGATTTGTAGAAAAAGAGGGTGAAGTCGGTAAACACAGTCCACAGTTTCTGCCAACCACAACTGCTTTTAAATTTCCGCAAAAGGTAGCCACTTATCTCACACTAAAACGAAAACCAATTGCGGATTAAGTTTTAAAGCACAGACCTAAAAACTAAGAAACAACACTACCTCAACTAGATGTACGCGAATCAAAATCCCAACAAGAAGTAACTTTTGCTCGCATTTTGGACTACGATTTTTTAAAATAATAAAGAAAGAACCACTCGACCGATGTATGGAATTTTCGAGTTACGTGAATTACACTCGCCGAAACGGAGCAATGCTTGATGTTTGTTAAGCGCGTTGGATGTTGAACCATGCTACACTATCTTAGCCTACTGGGGTCGCCATGAACACACCAAAAGACTAAACTCGTTTCTGTGCAAATAGTGTTTTTAATAAGTGTTACGTCGACGAAACCATCCTCATCGTAGTTGAAAATAGCAAACTCACAGAGTCCTTCTTTTATTTGCTTCTAATCGGTCTAACTTACCTTTGTTTGTAGTCATGGCCCTGAACATTGTTTATGGATTAATCAATGCGGTCCTTATGTAGCCATCCCTCCTGTCTCCAGCGTGTGGAACCTTTTTTTTACCAAAAAGTGCTTTTGTATTTGAAAATCAAAATCACTTATGACGCCAGGAAGTGCACAGAATAATCGCAGTAGTTTCCGTGTTAACATCAACAAAACAGCTGTCCTCAAAAGAGAGCATGAGCCAAAATCCATGCACAAGAGTAAAAACTAATTCCCACCTAAGTGATTTATGTGCCTCCGAACTTCCAACTCCTAATTGACAAAACAAAAAAAGTTTAGTCAATTTTGCAGAGCATTTTTATTAGGTAGTCATAGCAACAAGATATTTTGACAGTTCTCATTAAGCCGAAGAGGGCTGATTTTTAAGTTATGACATAATCTTGGCTCTTTCAACTTTGTCAACGATAGAAATGTCAAAACCAAAGAAATTCTGAGGAAATTTCTGACAAAGTGCATTTACTGTATCACGCTATGTTATCTGCTGACTAACATATCGCTTACGTTTTAATGGGGCTTTCTGATATCTCAAGTTTTTAATATTTGATGGGTTCATTTCGTCCCGCCTTTTATTGCCATACACATGACAACGATTTAAATTTGTCTTTTTTGACTACATCAAATAATGTTTGCAGTGGAAAATTTATTTACCTTTTCCAAGTGGAAAAGTAAATACGTCAATTATAACCTGACAGCGGGGAAGGAGTTAAAACGTAATGGTGAGCTTAATTTGTATGGTTCAAGTAGGTATTCTACTTGTTGTCGGAGTTATTTCACAATAAAAATCCCGTAAAGCAAATCGTCTTTAAAATTCAAATTTTTTCGGTGTATTAAATGGTGCTAAGCAAAGTCGAAATAATCGAGAACATTTGTGCAAACAGCCATTTTTAGTCACGTCAGGTATGCATCCTTGAATTAGCGGTCAATTTTTAAGCATTTTTTTGCTTATTATGACAGTTGAGGTTATTAATAATAGGCGAATGCTAGAAATTGGCTCGTTTCAGAGTCACGTCACGACGCATTTTCCTCAATTTATGTTAATCCATGCCTTCTTATTTCGTCGCTGTTATCTTCATTAAAACATAAATAATCTTTTTTTAAATGGCTAGCAACATTTGGCTGTGATATTCCTGAAATAAGTGTGAATTTTAAATTGAGAACACGTAGTAAGAGAGGCTATAACGGGCCTGTCGGAAACAGAATATATGCAGTAGCTATAGGATTCTACATTCTGAATTACCCTTTCATCCTTTAGTAAGTTATTCGTTGCAGGTAACAGACAGCTCACGTTAATTTGTCACTCGTCTGTTTTATTGTTTACGCTAAAAATTACTCCGAATTTATTTCACTACTGAAAATCGTCGATAAATCATTTGCTGCTGAAATGATTTATCGACGATTTTCATGAACAGCGAGCACGAAACAATGAGCCATATACCGATAAAACACACCAAAGTGAGGTGGAGCAGTCTTTTGCACTCCTAACCCCATTATGTTCAGTATTGCACTGAGAACGAGGAATATCTGACACCTACAGTATTACCTTCATACCACTTTACGGGAATTGTATAAAAAGCCTTGTAAACAATATTTCTTATCTAACCAGAAAGACATTATCTCATGGACAGAAAAGATGGTTAACACAAGGCTGTTAATTTGACTATTATCATTACCAATCAGCATTATGATGCCTAGTGAAATCTGTAATCTGAAATGTTCGTTATTCAAACGTACCTGATGATGATTCCTTAAAATTTGCGAACACAGACCAGATTTATTTGTCCAAGAACCCTCATGTTAATGTCCAAGTGGTGTATGGTTTATGGTGACTACATGGTACAGAGCATTGATTGGCACGAGAAGAGACGTGTCAAATCTAAGTCTTGTGAATAAAATTTCTTATCGTTTTCTTCGAGTTGTTTACGTTTTGGACATGGAAATTTGGATTAAATTAGTAATTTACAATTCTTTTGCGTGTGTTTTCATCTACGATGCATATTAATGAGCCAGTTGCATGCTCACGAATTCCATGCCCCATATACATTCCTGTTATGCAAGTCTGTTTACTTGAAATCGAATTAATGATCACTAACCGAAGTATGATAGGATGATTTGAAAACAAATTTTAAAAGAGCACCTCGTTTGCATTGAGGACATTGTCTAGCGACACGGTCAGCCGCCGGTGCCAGCACACGTAGGCCAGACCGCTACACCGGAGCACCGTCTGTTGGATGTGCGATCTTGGACCAAGCAAACCCAAATAGTCCACGCTTTGGTCAGGAACTACGTCTGAAGGGAATTCACGTTTCTCCAGAGCAACTGAGGAGACCTGGGACTTGTCACTGGCACCAGGAAGATCATGCAACGTGATATCTGCAGCATTAGCGGCTAAAGGTAATCAAAAAATATTTTTCCCTTTTTAATGAGTTAATCGTTGATAATTCTCAGTTGATGGATGAATTAACGTGCAGGTGATTTCTGGGTTTAGGTAAGGACAAAAAGCTCAACTTCTCAATGATCCGCTTCTATTCTCCGCAAAGCAAACGAAGGCAAAGCACTTTACGATCTCAAAGATGACAATGTTTTCTCTTCTAAAATTTTCTACACCCAAGTGTCTACCTTGCACTCAAGACTGGTTTTTTATTGACAAGAGTTCATGTATTGTACATATACCAGAACACACACTTAGCATAAATTTCTGAAATGAATCAGCAGCCCAAAGATGTATCCACAAAAGACTTTGCAATGCATGGAAAAATGACAGGTTAAATGTTGGTAGTCTTCTAAATTTGGAAACCATTATCAGAAACTGCTTGATTACCCGGACAAAAGCCTGCCCTCGACTGGAGGTTAATTTTGGTCATGATGCTAATGCACGGCAGTATTCAGTTGGGCCAAAAGTTGGTTGTCTCCATTAGAAGGGAGTGGAATCCATCAAGGAAGGAATTGGTCTTACAAAAATTTACCTTGGGTAAAGTCACGCTGCTACCTCTTGCACTCCAACATGAAGCTCAGATGCAGAACTTTTATGAGCTACTGCTAATATCGGAGTGACTTTTTTCAGGAAAATTTCAATAAAAAGTAGGCATTATTCTGTGGTTCTAACTGAATGGCACAATGACTTTGACGTGATATAAGTAGAAATGCTCTCGGTTATATAATCGCTGTTTTTACTAGAATCGTTGGTCTAGATTTACAAAGTCATGTACTTCAGCTTATGTGGAAGTTCCTGTCGAAAGTTAAGTAGGCAAAAGCAGTGGGCATTGCGACGTTATTAAATAAGGCTGACTGTAGGCAACCACGCCCAACTGGAATCGCATCACTCCAGCGCGCTACAAACGCGGCAAAGGTAATGACAGAGCCTCTGTAGAAAACAAGCATACAAAGATTGAAAGAAATATTTAATGGGCCACAGAAGCATGAAGTCTTAAATACGCGTGGCAACTATTAGTACGGTCGTTTGGCGCTAAAAGCATGACAATTGTGGGCAGTACTTCAGTCACGTGTGAATAAATAATGAAAATTTCAAGCAGGCTTCTAAGTTACCTAGGTAATAAAACGCGTGATTATCTAGCCCTGATGGATTTAATTTACGTAAAAGCACAAACAAAAAGTTACCTTCTAATGGCGACACAGGTGGTGAGGATAGGTGTCCGCTAGACATTTCGTCATTTTCCTTGTTTCTGCCTAGTACCTTGTACAAAGCATCCAACCAAAGACACTTCTGTTCTTCGTTGGGAGCCGCAAAAACTATGCGGTGGGTACGAGAATGTACCGATTTATCTGAGCTTATCTCCTCCATCTTCTCCCCAGGGAAGACAAAGATAGCAAAGCTGTATTGCTCTTTGCATGACATCCGGCGTGAGGTTTCGCCTTGAGCAACCCCTTCAGAAAAGGAGACCGAGGTCTTTAGTTGTGGTTCGATTGCGGCGTTGTGAAGAGCGATCACACCATGCACCTACCAATGATATGCTTAATTAAAATGACACGCTCCAAAAGAGCATGTATAGATGTTTCTCCAGAAGCTGCATTAAAAACTTTAGCTGCAAGAAATTATAGTTTTTGTACATGAATATTGTTGTGTGCCAATGCAGCCGAAGAACAAAAAATACTGGCCTCTGCATTGATAACCACTTCAGTTAGGGTTAAAATGTGCTCTATCATCTCAGCAACATCAAAAATATAAGCTTGTCTGACAACAAATAGACTTTTTAAAAGAAACATTTGGCATATTTATAGCCATAGAACCTAATATATGATTTTGCAGAGCTAGCAATACTGCAATAAAGGTATTTTGAAGTAAACAAATTAAAAAGCCGGTTACTAATATGAGATCAACATGACTAATTCAGTTAGAATTTGCAGGAAGTGACGGTGTTACAGGGATGAATGAACAAAATTGCTACCCAAAACGTTTGCACCAGCTACCTGGACTGTATTTAAGACAGGAAATAGTTTCTTTGCTATCTCTAATTACACTTCTTTGGCTAAGGAACTAAAAAGCCGCTAAAATTACGCAGTGTTACCAACTGCCTATATTTGCTTCAAATTACATATACAGTTGTGTACCAGACTCTACCACTTTCACTGGAGAATCAGTTAATCTAATTACGGAAGATACTAGCAATACCAGCAGTTTGAATTCGTTGGTATTTCTGGTCTTTCCAATTTCATTTGTCAAATATTGGAAATGCTCCAGGTTTCTTTTGAATGCCTTGTTTTAACCGGAAACACCGAGAAGTCATTACGTGAGTACTCATGGCAAATTTTCACCCGAGACGCATGACTAAAAGCTCGCTTGGACATATTTGTCTCAATTCAGTCGGTTCCCACAATCAGCCTGTTGCCTTGTTTGCAAGTAACCAATAAAAAACCCCCACACCGATCATTCATGAATTCATTGGGTCTGGGTGACGTGGCTCTAATTTTTAATCTCAGGTACAACTGGCAGCTAATTAGCAGGATTATGAGGTACCACAAGTTGCTAGACCAATGTTTTTGCCTGTGTCAACCGCCATAGGCAGAACGATCTGTTGAAAGACGAAGAATTTCTTCTACATCAAAAGACAGCAGACGTTCCAATAGTTTGCTTCAAACCGCATGGGATTTCATAGCTTATGAGACTTGTTAATAATGAACAATGGGAGAAATATGTTAAGGGCAGCAAACTATGCAGAAAAATAGATTTAATAGCATATTGTGTCGGTATTCCAGTTCGTTTACCTCATTGGGTGTTACATGTATTCATTGCTGCTGGATGCAAATTAGAGGTGGTTGAGTAACTCACGCACTAAAAATTATTTTCCCGTCTAGCTGGATATTCACAAAAGGGACAGTAACTAAGAATATTGCACTAAAATTGAGTTATGTGGTACATTTTTCGAAGAGAATTTGGGTAATACAAATGAATAAATATTTGGACAATGAGTGGTTGGTAAATGCAAAATGAATAATCGATTGGTCCATTTTTAGGCTTTGTTACTTAAACCCACAATTTATTTTAAAAGAAACGCATTACACAATTTTACCAACGGTTAAGCACAATCACCTTAAGTAAATTAATTAAATGAATGCATAAGATCACCAACCTTTAGCTGCATGGAGGCCGTACCGGAAGAGCGTGCACAGTAAACGAGACGATCTGTAAAGAGTAGTGCCATCCGAGGTTGAAAGCCTTGACCCTTTGAGGACATCTTTTCAAGATATCCAACTCGAATCAGATGGAAGTGAGGTTCACTGACGAGGCTATACAGAATTGTGGCGTAAGAGACACGTCGGCAGCGTCGTTTGTTAACACCTGTTCGGTCTTTGACAGCTGGTTGGGGATCGCGCCAGAACCCAACGGCCAAGACAAGGGCCTCCGTAGTTTGGTAAACAGAGTTAAATTTCAACACCACTTTGGACAGTCGTGACGTTAGAGCTAAGTGGAAAAAGATGATTGGCTTTAAAAGATTTAGAGAGATAATGGAAACAGCCTACTGAGCATAGCACGAACGAAACGTTACCATTCATTGCTTGTTTAAGGAATATAGGGGATCGGAACTACCAGAGTAAAAGAAGTGTTTTTTTTTATTCTGTTTTAATTAACTGTAAATAATTAAACAGAGAACTTATTCGCGTGGCTGTGGGAGTCCTCGATGAGCTCTTTAGGTCGTGGCTAAAGATTTCCCAAACTGGTGTGTACATGAAATGCCCTCTATTACCTCAAAACTACGGATCATTAAATATTCACAGCAAAGTTAGCAAACCAAACAGGCATGGGCGATCACCAGTGAACGCTAAGCTTGGGAACCCGATTGGTCACTGGGGCTGAGAAAGCTTCAATCGTCAAGGTCACCAGCTGTTGCAGCCGAATTCAGCAGGAAGGTCTCAAGGAAGAAATGAGACAGGAGAAGGGCAGACTCAACTGTTTCTCCAATGTCTCAACAAAGTTGCGAGTGTCCGCCACTGTGCATAAAGCTGTGGCGGACTAATTTGACTGTTGACCGATACATACGGCTGAATGGCCAAATAAATGGAATGAGTAGCGGAGCCGATACATTCAGAGAGGTGTATGAGCAGATGGCTCAGCATGGTTGACTGCGCGCCGTGAAAAGGGATGCAGTATGTCGGAGAATGACGATCGTTTTAAATGACGTGAAACAGCACGATTCACCACACACTTAACAAACAGGAGACTACCCAAAGAAGCGGATTAATAAATATCCATTGCAAGGCGCATCCATTGCAAACCATTTGTACATCCGTTCCCGACAGTGCAATCTACAAGAATAGCAACGGACGTGGAATTGTTGAAGGCCCCAGCATGTGGTCTCGATCCATACCGGGGGCCGAACACGCTACACAATACGCGAGAAGACTAATACCACAGACGACGGAGACAACTGTTTACTAGATGGCTCAACCAACTTGTTTATTTGTGTGCGTGCGTTAAGGTGATACCATGACTGATTCCACCTGGGTGAATTAGTAAAAGTACAAACGTCAAAATGGCCAATTGAATAAGACGGGCATGAGTGGTACATGCACAGGAGTTAATGAACAGACGATCCCACGTGATTGATGGGCACGCCGTGAAAAGGGGCGCGTGTGTGAGACTGCGACGACTGGGTTATTGCTCGTGAATTAACTCGATTCACAGTTAAGGAACCGATCGTTTAAATACAAGTCCAGTGGAAGTAGTATCTGACCTCAAACGGCTGTTTGAGTTCGAGACGATTTATGATATGACAGAACAGCAGACGACACTGGAAACAGCAGTTAATCAAACTACTATTCGCCAAATGTAGCAGCGCGTCTAAAAGCGATCAAAGCACATATTTGTTATATAGCAATTAATGAAGGAATAAATATAGAGCTCAGTTACAAACACTGAAGCCTGAACTAATGGTGGCAACGTACCGTTACAATCATCTAAGTCTGGGTGCTCAGTCCCATAGAATGTTGCCAAACGCCTGAAGGCTTGAGTGTAGTACCACAACCTTCTGGCTGGAGCTCTCAGTAACGCAAGTCTGGACGGATAGTTGTCCATCAATCCTGATTCATCGTGGCCAGCAATTTTTGAAATATGCTCTTTAAGGAGACCTGGTAAGGCATGGAGAAAGCACTCATATAGGGAGACAAGCACCTCAAGTAAAGGCTGTCTGTACACATCGGCTATTCGAGCCAAGTCTGCCAAGCATCGTGTGGTCTCCCGTAGCTCTGCCTCGGCCGATGCGAGGTCAGCAAGGGGTGTCTCAGTTATCTGAGAAAGGTGTTCTACGTCAGAATTATCTGAAGATGAGACAAACGAGGAATAGGAGGTTGATGAAGTGGTAAGGTAGCAGCCTTCAGCAGGTGGAATCTGGCTTCGATTCCCCTCAATCGACGGTGGCAATTCATTTCTGGAGGAAGAACGGGGAACACCGCTTACGGAAGCTAAAAATGAGTGAATTTATTTGGCAAGACCGACAAAATTTATACATCATCCACGTATTTAGGCTGAAACTAGAAAACCACCAACTTGATGAATCCGAGAGTTCATTTTTTCCACCGAAGTCGTTGCCAAATGCATTGTCATTTCTGCATTTTTGTGGGCGCTGAGGGCGTTGACGACCCGCCTGAATTTGCTTCACCGCGCGTTCACGTCTGGTGCACTGTGCCTTGTGTGCGTTGGCCACCGCCGATTGATATCGTGTCCTTGCTGATGCCGCACTAATAGCTGCCTTCTCCCACGCCACCACCCTCGTGAAAGCGGACTGGAGCAAAGCCGAGTGATGTAAGTATATAGGCGATACCAGACGGGTGATTTGGACGTGAAAGTTATCCCCAGGAGCTGGGCTACTTGGAGAAGGCTTAAAAAAATGCAAAAACTCGTTGACTGACCTATTTAAGAACATATTTTTATTTATTAAATGGTGCGTTGGTGCCCAATCATCAATTGTTCCATTTTTCTCCAAACTTCAACCTACACGCATGAATATAGAGGTGTTACTCTAAACCCCAACATCTTTTTGGGTTGGTTAATGGGCAGCCTTGGCTTTCATGAAGAGATAGCGTTAGGTTTTATTTGAAGGACATCCGCCCTGTATTATGATTTTTTTATTTTGACGCTTGATGGAAGTCACTTTTGGCTGAACTTAGAAGTTGGCTGGAGTCAACTTTGCCATGGTGTGCAGAAACGAACACTTCCAATTTACTGTACTTTTTATTTCCATAAAGGCACGAAAACTGCTTAGACTCACAACGTTAACGGCGCTAATTGCTAATTAGACTTATTTTAATAGGTTGTGGAGAATTTTAAGTAAATATGATCAAGGAATTAGTTGCCACACAGAACTTGATATCTACCGCAACGTAACTGTGCGAAGGAAATTTGGTTAAAATTTAAAGGCATGGACGTTGTGCATGGAAACATCAGTATTCCTTTGACATATTTTCGTTTTTTTTCTAAATAAAGGCAAAACGAAGTTTGCTCTAAGTTCAAGCATCCATAATCCCGCTCTTCGGTGTTTGGACACTGGTGTTTAAATGGCGAATTCGCACGACGGGAGGGTCACAGCACAGTTTGAAAATACACAAACGCTAAAAAAGGCGTTTTTAATAATGGGGAAACCCCCGAATAGATTTTAAAAAAGAAAGATCCACTTCAGTGATAGGTCAAATCGTCCAAATTTGGAGTGCTTACTGAATACTCGATTGAGCCAAAAAAAATAAGGAACCATTTTTTACCAGGAAAAAGTGCATCACGGTAGAAATCAAAGCAAAATTTTAAATCCCTCTGAGTTGCTAAGACACGAAAGCATAAATAATCTGGTCTTTAGGTCGTTTTGGCTAAGCCGAGGTGAAAGGATGGCCGCTAACCTGTCAAATTCTGGATGCTGTCAATATTCAGGCAGGTCAGCTGTGACAACTCAAGGAGAATGTTTAGTGAATCGTGTTAATTCAAGTTCATCCGCTCTGTTGTCACATTCTAAAACTCACTGCCCTCTTCCCACAGAGACCTCGTCAGTTATGCGGGACCGTCCACTCGGTAACCCCTGTGCATGTACCACCACTACCCCCTTTTTCCGTCTGACCATTAAGGCGTTTGTACTCTTAATATTTCACCCAGACTATGTCAGCCAACAAAAACATGGGGCTTGAACTACCTTCATTACACACACATGACACTATGCAATTTGGTTGACGTATCGAGTAAAGGGTCGTGTTTCGTCCTCTCATCGTCGTGGGTATCAGGGTAACGGAATCGGGCTAGATTATAAATAGTTGTCTCAGCGTGGTTTGAGACCACATGCCGGGGCCCTCAACAAACTTTAAAACAACGACTAGGCAGAATACCTTAAGGAGGAGCTGGAGGGAATGAACGTAGGTTCTTTCTGTCATCGAAAGTTCTTTTGCCAAATGGAATGTTCGATCGTGGTATGGAGGCACCGATTTCTGAAAGTACAACTGCCCAAGTTGACATTGAATACGCATTTAGGGGACTTATTCATCATGTTTGTAAAAGGGAGTTAAACAAATATTTTATAATTAGCGTTGACACTAATTTTGCTAATGTGATAACTACACTCTAAACCTCAAAATCAGTCAAAATGCAAAACGCATTGAATGCGCAATCGACCGAAAGAAGAGAAATTGCATACTTTTCGCGGAATTCTTGATGTAGTACTTAAGGTGTAAGCATTTTGTTGAACTGAGCTAGCCATTAAATCCCAATTAATGTAATCCTGTTTGATATTTGGCTCGCGTTTTCTTGTCCTGTGTTTCTTTCGTTGTCGGTGTATCCGTCTGGCTATACGAGGACGTACGTCAACAGGGAAAAAATGATGTTCCGGTACAACCGGTTCGACCGGTTCAGATCGGGCTCGTTGTCCTACTGATGAGGAAATGGTGTCGATGGCTGGGGATGAAGGTCCAGAAAACGGAGCCGGATGAGTTTTCCCGGCCTTATCTTCACAGGCCCCCACACTTTCACCTCCCTTACAATCATTGTCGTCGTCTTCGAAACACGAGACGCCTGTGATTGCGGAAATGGCGCCGATTGAAAGAGCGGGTGCCAGGCTGCTCGGTTCCTCTTCCATACGGCTAGTTTCCTCAAAGTCTTCACCAAGAGTTGTATAATTCGAAGCACGTCGGCTGGTTGGTGCACTTTGTGAGGGGTAGGAGGACAACCCGTGGGTATCAACCTACAAGAAGTTATGCTAATTAGGAATAATTCACAAATTAGTTTAACCTGGCCGACGCACTGCATGATACTTTGCGAAATTCGTTGATTTGATTAGTCCACGTACACGACAGATCGGTGCTAGCCATGTAAACTAATCACACCTAAACCAAATTATCAGTTTGACTTGTAAATGGCAATTTCTGTGATTATGGAAGGCGTCACGTTAGTGCAAGTCATTTGACCGTATGTTGTAAACTGTACAAAGACCTATGGAAAAACGTTGGATGCGAAAACCACAAAGATAAATGATTGGGTAAATCAGAGGGAGAATTAAAAGGCAAAATCACGCAGAAATTTGAAATATTTGGCTTAGGAGACAGGTAAATAATTAGGTGAATGTAGGCTTATGTGGAAGAATATAATGGTGATTGGGAGTGTTCTACGAAAGCCGAATCACGTTCACGAAGATTATATATCTGAACGTATAAGTTTTTACATAGGCCGGTGTACCCACATGCAACTCCAAAACAATCACACATTACGCGATTGCAAATTACTATCCACATGCATTCTTCTCCAATTTTCGTAAAAGGTGATGATACTGAACTGCTACATGAATACTATGTGCATCTTCGGCAAATGGTAATATGTGGCAAAATATTCCTTTGGCAGAGTTTGTAGCAATAAATCGCAATTAATGGGCAAAGCAGTTTTCGGGTACAAAACTCAGTCTCACACGAAGAAGATTAAACGTTGACAATGGTAGTTATGCTTTAATCGTAATCTAAATTCCCTCATGTACGTCTTACGTGAAGGTGTCTACAAGGAATTGTTTAGTTTTGTCATAATAACCTCATTTAAGTAGTTGCTGCCCGAAACACCTCAGGAGTACAAGGACCTGGCGTGGTAAAATAGTAATAAAAGTACAAAATGCTAAGGCGAATTAAATGGCAACCAGAGACAGGAGACGAACTCTGAGATTAGCATCAAAAACACGCAGATGCAACTTATTATTTAAGTCATGGTATTTTCGCCTAAAATTAGCAAATCGATTTCCGCAAAAAACAAAATTTCTGATTATCGATCAATCTTTTCTACAAAATATTTCCAGAATCTAGTTAACAAGGCAAGTCCAGTCCATTTTACTGCTAGAGGAACGGAAAATAAGCACAGATCGGAACGTACGAAGGCGGTGTTGCTGTCCGGGTGAGTCCAGTCAAGGGGGCTTTCTCGAGCAAAAGGCGAGACGATTGGGAAATTGTCTACTTCCTTCCTAAATTGCCAGAATAAATCAGGCACAAAGGGTTGTTTTAAAAAAAAAACAAATTGTGAAAGTGATGTACTAAAATATTGAAAGGTGAACAAGACTAAATAAAAGCTGAGCATTTCCTTTGCTGCATCCGTAGTGATATATTCGCAAGTATTAGTCAAAATAAATGCACTAAACTGAAAATGACGATGTTTCACAAAAAAAGGTTGCGCTCTATTTTGTTGTCTGCAGAACTGCGACTCCTAGTATTTTAATAATTGTTATAATGTTTCGAGATAATTGTGGATGGTGAAATGCGAACTAAACGAAACACGAATAATGCCTCGTACAGTACAAAACGAAGAAGAAAAACACAAATTAGAAGACGCATGGAGAAAGTGGGTGTGGGGAAGCGATCAGATGTCAAAAGGCCCCATTTTTCAAAAGAACATTAATGCGTAACGTTGTTTCGAACGCATGAATCAAGTACCTCATTAGCAAAAAAAAACAATTTACTGTAAGAAGCCGACCCTGAAGTGGCAATCATCAGGAATTTTACTTCTTCTGAGTCTGCTAAACTGTCCAGACCAAATTTTCACGTAAATAATGCAAGATGTAAGTTAAACTGGATAGTCTTTTTACTAAATCGTGTGCCAAAATTTACATTCGAAAAGTAACAACAGAGATTTTAGGTCGAAAAAATCTTATACTAACATGCCCACATAGGATCCATTAATGAAAAAAGAAACAAAAAAGTGCATTTACCAAGTTATAACAATGAAAATTAACTTGTAAATGTGGACACTGGTCGACTGAAAATAGTTCTACTGTTAATTCAATTTGGTCAGATTAACTAGGCAAAGTGAGACTTTAGACATGCCTAGATATTGTTTCATAATTACCGATAAATATAATTTTAATTTAGCAATTCTTACCTACTATCGTCTTCCTGATGCGGAGGCGAATTCAATTCATCCAGAGCACACACGGGGTAATGGAAATCGATTGATTCGGACCGATATAAGTCATTGGAAGAGACGGCGCGAGAAGCGCAAACCGAAAGAGGGTGTTGGAGGAGTGAATCATCGGAGATAGTGGCATTATCGTCATAGTTATCATCATCCTCAGGCTCGTTGTCGTAGTTCTCAGCAAAACGGCTGTGATGAACCACGGTGGAGAAAGCGCGAGTCCATGGAACTGACGGCGCTTTCTCGTTCGTCCTTAGGCCGTGTGATGGCGAAATCGAAGTAGAAATTTGGGCGCCATTTGTTAGAAACTTCAGTTAAATTGAGTCGTGTTAGTTAGTACACGAGCAACAAACTCGAGAAGGGCATTTCGTGATGGCAATGACGCTGATTTCAAGATTAGTCAGATAAGCTTCATTTGCTGGAAATTGTAATCCCGTTCATTAAAATGTGATGTAAATTAGTGCAGACAAAAAAATCGGATGTTAAGAGGCTAGGACATTGGTCAGCTCCCTATGTGAGCGATCCGTGACAATACCGAATGCAAAATAAACGATTAATTTTTTAGCCCGCTGGTGAAAGGCATCTTTAGAGAGTAAAAATTTCGAAAACAATTGGTTGCATGTCCTTTTGAATTCTGTTATGGAAAAAAATGAAATCTATCCACTAAATACATTTGAATGATTTCACAGGACTGTTTTAATTAGGAGGGAGCGGTACTCAAATTTTGATGCAATAAAAAAAATGAGTGTTAGAAGTTACTAATGAAAACAGAAACTAATAACTGAAAACCAACTTTTCGCTAACACCAAAATGCGTAAAAAATCCATGCCTGCTTGCTATCCGTACATCAAATCCAGCAAATAAACTTCTGATTACAAGTTTCAAAAAGCATTTAAATACTTTAATGTCAAATTTAAAGTCAGCGAAAAGATTTTTTCTAAAGCGAAAATGGTTGGGCTTTGGAGTGATTCAGTAATAATCAGAGGTCTTGACAGCAGGTTGTTGCACAAGAAAGTTAAAAGTTTAAAATTTTCAACAGAAACGAAAGCTTTGACTGACGGCACTGTAAATTAAAATCAGACTGAATACCTACCGAAGGCGGTGTAGTTGCTTCGGAAAACGATGAAGTCTTATTAAGGGCATTGGGAGGTGTGAGATCTCCGCTGCTTCTATCAGCGTGCATTGTTCGCGAGTGGTGCTTCATGGGTGGATCCAGATATTCCGGACCATTAAAGGAGCTCGCTGACGGGCAATCTGCAAAATATAAAAAATACAGGCACTTGCACGATCTTATAGTTCTCAATGCTTTTGCGATTTTTTTCGGGTCAGAGGGGAGTAGCAATAAGAAATAAACCATTAACCGTGGATTGCACAATTTCAGCCATACCCCATCTCGCGGGATTAAGGGAATATAATTACGGACCTTTGATAGCTGAGTCGGAGGGTCTAGTTGTGGCCGACCTGACCGATAGTGAATTGGTGTTAGTAGTACTACCAGATCCACGCCTCCTCTTCGGGGCTTTAAGCACGGACGCTGAGAAAACCCGAGGTACACGGGCCCCGTGTTCAGACTCGAGCAATTGCGACCCAACTTTGTACAGACTCTCAGTTTGTAGGCTATCCTGCTCCACAGAGTGGACACTACTTGCTCGATACCTGGAAATAAAAAAAGGATTTTGTGTGCAAGATGAGTTTGAACTTTGATATTCAAAGTGGACGCTGTCTTCAAAATCCGAAGTGAAATTTAGAAAAAAACAATCGCTCTTACAAAAAAATTTAAAGGCCACGAAATTAACAAATCGAAACTTACGCTGAAGTATCGGACAATGTTCCCTTAAGATCTAAAGGACAATGCCAGCCTATTTTTTAATGTTAAGATGTATGCATGAACTTTAACCATAACAATGGCCTCAGCTCCACCTATAGCACAAATTTTGTGCGATTATCAACACCAGAGACTGTGCAAAGTAGCTAGAAATCTCTTACAGCCATGATTTCAACAGGGATTTTCTCCCATCAACTTCTTAAAAAAACTAGCGGTAGCAAATATATTGTCAGAATGTGGAGCAAGTCACCCGAACCTTGGCCTGGCGATGTAGTAAGAGTCGACTGAATGGTCAGAAAAGACGTCCATGACTCATTTTCTGGTAAGAGACCTACCCCTGAGGATCACTTGGCTACCCACCGAAATTCCTTGATACCCTCTGTTTTAAAGCGAGACCCAAGCATCGATCTGCTGTTGCCAAAGAAGTTCTCATTTCCCAAGGCCCATTTGACTCTTCTTCATTAGTGAGTCCCAACTACTTTGAAACAACTGAATTCACACCACCTTGTGTGTATTGCTGGATTTATCTAAACATTACTACTATCAGTTTTACCAATTTTAACTAGTTTGTCGGAAAATAAATGCAGAAATTTTGAAATGTTGAGCTAGGCCCGACAACAATATGCTGATAAAGCAGGTGCGTTACTTTTTATTCGAGAATGCCTAAATGTTTCTCAAAAAGAGATAAAACTGCAGTAACATTGGATTGGATGAGAAGGAAGCTAGAAACAAAGTATACAAATCTACGCATACAAATAGGCTGGCAAGTGAACGCTGGCCAAACTAATAGTAGCGGTTGGGGTTTTCTGTGATTGGCTCATGCATGTACATTTGACCAACAACCCTGGCACGAAACGCCTAGCGCGGAAACCGATTTGGAGAGACGGTAGACGAAGTAGTTGCCGTGCCAATTAACAGGGGCAATAGAGCTATTCACAGCTACATTCGACGAGTTTATGCCAGATGCAGGTATTGGTGAAGAAATTGGGGAATTAGTAGAAGCAAACATTTCGTTATATACTTGTGTTCTTACATACTCTTATAATGAAACCAAAGTACATTTTATGACAAATCGATCAGTAGATTTTCGACTAATAAGCCTGCGGTCGCCTCTACGGTCCTCAAGAGGTTAATAAAATCTCTTCGAATTAGGTGGCGTCGAACCTTCTCTATCCTGACCTAGTACAACCTAATTAGAGGATCCGATATGGGTTTGAAATAAATTCGTGATAGTCTTGAATGTGTGGTTTCATTACACATGCAACGACAGGACACAGACACGAATTTAGAGAATAAAAACAAAGGTGTCTTGCAGTAGTACTGAGTGATTTACAGAGGCTGGCTTTGATTGTGACCCACATTCGGTGATACTTAAGCACGAAGATCATGGACGTGGTTTGTGTCCTACAGATGACGCAGATTGTGTAAAGGTAATACAACATGCAACAAAACAGAGCTAAAATAGGTTTGTGGAAGCCTAAAGGGCGCAGATGTAGCATTTAAAATCCACTTAGCCTGGGTAAATACCTCCCATGTACTTCAGACTCGAATGCCGATTGGTGGCAAAAGGATTTTCGTAAATGATTAGTGAGTAGGACCATGACGCAAAATACAATGAAACTAGAATGTCGAGGAAGAATTTGCGGTCTTAACGACCCTCACAAAGCGTGTTCGCCTATGTGGCCATTACTAAAAATTTTGCCTTAGAAACATTTAAATGGGCAAAACACTTGAAAGTTGCCTTCAGAATTTTCTTCAGAATGTTTAACGCAATCAATAAGACTTCAGCTTCCTACAGCTACCTACTCATCCATTTCAGCTCAAGGAAATTGATTTGGATGATGACATATTCCATCGGGTCTCCATAAGGTTTCAAGATTTTTAGCCGAATACGATCTAGATATGGATTAATTGCATTGAAGATTTGCAAGTGATCAGAGGACAGTTTAAACACAAGACTCGGTGACATTCAGACGGGATTCAGGCTCTTAAGCCAATAACACAAAATGCCAGATCATGATACAAGTTTCGACCTGAGAGGTCTCACTTTCACTGACCACGGCCCGAATTTCAGTCTACGCTAAAAAAATAGCCTAAGCGTTTAAGGAAAAGATAACCTAGCTGGCAGCCGAAAATAAATTTCTCAATTTTTGCATAAATTTGAATACCTCAAGCACTGATACATTGTAAAACATTAAAGCTTGAAATTAGTTAAAAGCGAATGAAAATTGATGGGTCGAATGAGGTTAAAACAGATTCACAACATGACGAGGAATAAACGGTGTCTAATGAAATTATTTTTATAATAAAGAACGATAGAGATTATCAATTGCAGGTTAGAACCGAATAACTTTTATTTTTGCGGAATTAATACATACTTAAGATGTTACAAGTCATACGCTTAGAGTTCTGATGATATTGCGTCAACTGACAGCGCATTAACGCCCAAAGACCTGTGATTACGTATTTCTGAAGTTTTACCCAAGACTCCACTACTTTCAGACAGCAGCTGAAAAGAGTATCCTTGTGGCGCAAATACAGATTAGATGTTCACGTTTGGTTAAAAAAAGTTAAACTTTAACCCGGTTCGTCTCTTTAGACAGGAAAAACCCGGGCATTCTTTTAAAATAAAAGACAATATTTGGTTAAAGTCTGACTCCCTTAATTGGTGATCTATTTTTCTTCCATTAAAAAGTCGTTACTGTTAAAACGAATGTTAGGGAAGGCCTTTGCAATGACCGAAGAGACAAGTGCAAGGGTTAAAGTAGTTTGGATTACCTGCTTGAGAAATTATTATTTAAATACACGACTCGTTCATACAGAAGGGAAATGTAAGGTTTAACTAATGGTTTGAAGTTAACCTTGCTCTAAACGAATTACGGAGTTTTATGGAAATTATGGTGATTACATTCAATATCGGGTTACATTACAACATGCCTAACAGTGTGGTAAAGGTGAACAGTTCTGACCTTGTTGAAAGAGGTCGGCGAATAGGAGTGGAAAGAAAAAGGAGTTGGTAGTGGTCCGGAAGACTGGATGTTGGCATTCCAAAGTCGGCGGCTACTGTACTCGAGATACTTCCACGAAAGTGGTCTCGTTGTGGTCGGAGCAGCCCCGAACCGCGACTGCCGTGGTCTCCGTCAACACGAGCAGCACTACGACAAAGACTTGATGGGCCAAAGTAATTCAGATTATCTTCTGAGTCGAGACGACCTACTGACATGGACCTCCTATAGATAGGAAACGAAGCATATTACTATAATAACCAAGGCGTGATTAAGCAAAGCGTACAGCGATCACACAAAAATATATGCAAGTACTCACTGTTCAGACAAAATATTCCCCTTTGCAGAACTATACGATGTTTCTAATAGTTGATGCTGCGTTCTTCCACAGTACCTAAATAAAGATATGCGGAGAATTTAGGTTCTGATAAGAGAGTTCACAACTAACGCAGACAGATTCTTGCCCTAATTTTGAGTTTGAGTTTGCCTTAATTTTGTGTCTGAATAAGGGTTGAAATTGGGAGATGACCAAGAAGTAATCCAATTTGACAAGTTAATTTTGCTTAGCTCAGGTAATTGCAGGTTTTACGAGTTTTTTTTGAAAAATTCTATACCCTATTTCATAAAATAAATAGGTAAATAAAACGGGAGGTAGCAAGTCAGGAGATTTTGGTGCTCACGGCGAAGTGATCAAGAAAAACGTTTGATTACGTCATTTTATGAGGCTCAATTCTGATTAATCCTACAAAATTTACAACAACCACAATTACTTTTGTACTGATTACCACTGGTGATTCATGTGCCTAATGTCGTATATTGCATCAACACCTCAAGGGAAACATGTTTACGTGATTTATAAGTACAACCTGCTGGAGATCTAAGGTTCGAACATTAGCTGACTTGTGTTCTCAGTTGAACCATTGCTTACAGGACTGCATAGATCAGATTTGCCCGAAATTTAAGCACACTTCCGAACGGTAGACTACACCGATTGGCCTTATAGTAATATTTAAAATGATCTGTTCATCAAACAATACCTGACCCTTGACTTACTAAATAGGTCACTGATTTAGATTTAAATAATTTGAGCATGTTTGTGCTTCAACATATAAAAATAAAAAAAAATCAAAAATGATAACAAAAACAAAGTGTAGCATTTGGGTGATTAGTTCACGCTGCTTTGGTCCATCGAAAAGATACTCAAGTGTTTCAAGATTTATGCCAGAGCCTGTTTGCAGGAAATCCAGCAAATAAATTGTTCGTTAGTCGGTTTAAGTCATGGAAAGACAAGAAAAAAGTTAAAAAGGCTCGATTTTTAAATACCTCCTAAAAGCTGATCACATAAACCAGAAACTTCCATTATCAATGGTCAATACACTGACCGAATTAATAGAAAGATAATTTACCGTGGTTGTTGCTACTTAAAGAGTAATCAATGGCAGTAATTTGCGAAAACTACTATTTCAGGAAGCTGTGAAACCCAAACGGGCCACACGTAAGCTAAAAGTGCTGGGTTTCACAAATGTGGATTAAACAAAATGATCTATTTTTAATTACCTGATTTTCGAATTACTAGATAAAGAAGCCCGGGCATATAAGATCAAACAATGGCTAAGAAATCGTAAATCGGAAAAGCTTGCCTCAATAACGCGTCGGCGACAATACATGCAAATAGTTTATAATATACATTTTGGATTATCCAACTATAAAAATGTTTACGACGCAAAGGAACAATCGAATTGCCGCTAGTATATTTTTTTGAGAATATCCAATCTTAAATTTGACTGTATCAACTTGAAAACACATTTGTCACTTCAAACTGTGTACGTTCGAAACTCCAAACTTACCTAAGTCAGGGAAAAATATTTTATTGTCGATTTTCGCCGTTTTAGTTTAATTAGTAAGGGTAGGCTACGAAGAAAATGAAGTTGCGTTTGAAATATGGCCCGGAGAGATTTAGGTACGAAAAGGAGGGAGAGTTAATTTCTTGCCTGTAGATATCTACACGATAGCAAGATATGTGACAAGCGGACGAAAAAAACATGGCAAATTTTAGGGCCAGTCGATTCTACGTGTGCTTCGTGAAAATTACTGATTCTGCTCTCACAAGAATCGATTGCGCAGTGGCCTGTTAATTTGCAAAAATGTAACAGTGCACACTTATACAAGTTCATTGCCTTTCCAAGGTATGAGAATTTTCATGTACTAAGGACCTGTTAAGTTCGGGAAAGCGGAAAACCTTTAGGCACATTTGGTCCTAAGATATCCCCTCATTAACAAAAAGTCGTCAGAAGTTGGATATCTGTAATGAGTCGAACCAAAAAGAATTCATCTAGTTTCAGCCCGCATAATAAAATGTTAGTTTTAAGAAAGAAATCCTGACTACATTGAACTGTTGGTGTCAGTTAGTCCCAGAAATGGGCAAGCTAACATACCTGTAAGATGAGCCCTTGCTAAATAGGGCTTGGTTGCGTCCGTTTTTGAGATTTGCGCTTTGATAAAGCACTCCGCCGCCACCAGCACTAGAGAAGCTGCCTTTGGGTCCCGTGTCCTCCGAATAGCAAAGACTTGGTTGGGAAGAGTAGGGATGTGCAGATGGCGCGCTGGAGGTCCAGATGCCTTTCCCAAAACCCCCCAGACCACCGCCCCCTGCGCCCGCCTCCCCCCGCATCTCTCGGGACCGAAAAAAGGCATGGTGCTCGAGACACTTTTTCCAGAAATTCTTGCACGAGTTTCGACTGTCGAAAGTGAATTCCACAGTGCTCTGTCCGAAAGACTTGAAAAAAATAAAAGTTTCTTCCACACATATGTTATAAGAGTCGCCTGTCATCGTTATACTAAATGACATTTACTTGTTGCTAGAAATGTCGATAATCTGAAGAAGCCATCTCTTACTCAATTGCATGCAATCATACGGATAAGCACAGTTAGAATTTCGAGCACTTTTTAACATTTCATCAGAATAACATATAAGTAGGCAAACATGCAGCATATTGACCTTCGGAGAAAAACTGGACTTTTGTTATCATTTTGAAATTTGCCATGGTCCTTTCATTTGAGGCAATGATTACAATTTTGCATAATTTGATTATGTTAAAATGTTCCGTTTTTCACCAAAAAACATCGAATTTGAATAGTAAATACATTAGGCCATCAAAAAATGTGTAAGAGGCTATAATTTAAGAAGGCTAAGAGTTACTGAATTTTGGGGAATTAAAGTTGCTAATTATTGACATAACAGACAAATATAAATTTGCGGTAACTTAAACTATGAAATTGTTGAGCAAAACCTTACTTTATTTTTTTAATACCAGAACTTGTGTTGGAAGCCCTCATAGAGGTTCTACTTTCAGATTGAGTAGGTACTTTATTCAAACATCCACCGTGCATCCGGCACAAGTTAAATGACAAAATCTGGCGATAAAGAGAGTTAACGTGACAATCACTTTGATAGGTTTTATAGTTTACAAGAGTAGACAAGACTGAGTAAGTTCACCACATGATACGAATCGGTGACATTTCCACTATATGCGCATGCTTTCAAGTGCTAATAACTCAGACATTTGTCATACTTCAGTTTTAGCCGGGAACCGACTGAACTCAAGTGTAAGAAGACGGTGCATGAAACAATGTTAAATCTGATTCAATACCTAAAAACAAATATCGACAACCCGGGTTGTTTCAGTCAGGATTTTTTATACATAGAATGTGGTAAACAATCACTGTCCTAGCAATACGAAATGCACTTGAATTTATACCTCAGTTCCTGGATGTAGTTTGATCAGGAACTTGGATCGCTTGAAGCTTAGCTTGCGGATCTTTGACCAACTAAAGTGGTTTAGTTTGGTCTTCGCTTGGTACAGAAACAGTCCTGCATGTGTGACGCCCAAATTGAGGAGGATTCCTCCATTGTCCTGAAAGGCGAGCAAGTGCTAAAGAATATTGGATAAATAAATAGTTTCTCAATGTGTTAATACTTATAAGAAGTGTTGAAGTTCCCCAATTTACTGAACTTATAATCTACGTGGATAGCAGAAAAAAAAATTGAAAGTGCAACACACATGTAGTTGTCCCACCGACTACGATCTCAATAATAAGATAAAAACTAAAATATACTGTCTTTTTGCAAGTATTCACATAAGTTTATTCAGGAATTACTAAGTCTAGTCATATTTGGTGTATTTAACAAGAAATGCGATCTCATTTTAGACGGGGCATCTTATGACAAAACATCAATTTTAGGACTTGTAATAATTGTTTGCTGGTAGATAGATGTGCCCCGAAACCACAAAACTAAAAGCTTGGCGATAAAAGGTCTTTACCACAACTCTTTGACCCTGAATGCATGTCTCAGTTTTTCCTGCACCACAAGCACAAATAACTTACCGTCTCGATTATTACTAGTCTGCTTTTCATCGCAGGTGACAGACAGCCTCAGGGTAAATTAGAAAGAATCTTGTAAGAGCCTCAACAGGCCATTACATTCATTCAAAATCCACACTTTGAATAGTTTAATACTACTGCGATCAAATTGTCAGGCACTGAGGTCTTTTGTAGTGTTCTATAAGCCCTTTTAGAACGCGGTATCAATGGGGATATAATTTGGCAAAAGTACGTAGCGGCGTGGTTGGCACTAACTTACGACCCTGCTATTCGACAGTCCGTAACAGCCCGAGAGGAAAGGCAAGACTGAGGATAGCGAATACAACACTTTGTCTACATTTGACCACCCAAGTCTTTTATAGCAAAGCGCGTGAGTGCATCTCTCAACTCATGAATAAGCTTCACTCACGCTCGTTTGATGAAAGTTTACCACAAGTATATACAAAGGTAATGTTAAAAAATCTCACATTCATGAATTTATCATAATCGAAAGAAACATATTTCCATCAAACAAACGATCCAATGAATGAGCTTTGTAATTGATCGTAAAGTCTGTTACACATTTCCATGTTCTTATAGAATAATTTTTAACTCAACCAAAGTTGAAGGTCATCTTACCGACCGGATTAAATCTCGTCTTAGCATGCCATAAATGCATACGCTGTGTACTATAACCTAGGTCTTGCCTAAATGATTGTCAAACACAGTCATTCTTTTTCTTTCAATATAAAACGTCATGAACTACAGGAAAAAAGTATAAAATCAAAACGGCTGGCATAATTTGTGACTGAGCTTACCTAAAAACAAAATCACACCAAATACCTGCATGGCAGAAAAATATGCATTTGTCAGCACACTTAAAGCCAAGATCGATGAGAGGATGAGTAAACAAAATTCGAAAATGTCGTTTGTTGAAAAAACTATGCTAATGGAAGACCTCACTTTCAAAAACTGCAAAGCAGGACCTAGAAATTAAAAGCTGCATTCAAATATTTTTGCAATATTGGATGACATTTTTGTATCGATGAGACCAAAGCAATTTTAAGAAAGAGGCCAGCTATTGGGAAAATTGGAAAAAAATTACACTGAAGAAAAAAAAATAATGTGTAATTTGTGGTCGTCAGCGCAATTGCACAAGTAGGACCAAATTACTGGAAGGAAATGAAACGTTTTTATAATTGTTTGAAAATAAAAACACCATCACAGACAAAAGGCAGTGGTCGGACATTAAGAGACGAACGAATAAACGAATGTCTACGAACCACAATCAACTGGCATGAGTTCCATCATAACGGAATCCGGTGTTATTAATCGTTTCGAAAATGTAGACCATGATTTAATAAAATGAAAAATTAAGGGCCGTGTAGATGCAAGTAGGAATCATCTAATTTTTCTTAAATCTGATAAAAAAAATTCCTTAGAAATGAAGGTGGATACAACATAATTTTGCTATGGCTATATGGTTACTAAAGGGGGAATTAAGTTACGGTCAATGCGAAAATAATACCTTGGCTGGGTGCAGTTTCAATCCATAAAATTCCAACTTCCGTGCAGCATCCAAAAGACGGTAATTTGCTTCTCCTTCTGACATCCCTCTAAAAGTTAAATTACTTTCTAAGACTAGGTTTTTCTTTAGCGGAAAATATCCTACATGAGCAAAAATGTGGGAAAGGGAAACAATCTAATGACTAAAAGGTACGTTATAGCTAAGCCGTCTTTCATGTTAATATGAATGAATCTGAGATAAATTTCCCTCACTTTAAAACACAGAAAAACGTTGTTAAACCAAATACAATTAGTCTTGCCGCAATTGTTTAAGTAAAACAAATGTGAATTGTTGGCTGCCGCCACTTTAAATTTACAGGTTGCAAATTTTGACGTCTTGTAAGGTGAAGCACAACGACCTGGCAGCAACCGTCTGCAAAATTCGTGAAAAGCGACCACGCAGTCTTAGGTTGACTTGTGACAAGTTAAATCAACAGCCTGTTTCATTGTTTACTAGGAAACATTCCAGTCAATTTCAGTTATGTAAAGAAGGACTTCCGGCATATTCCACCTTCTATAAAAATTTGCACAATTGGAAAGTCCTTCCCTAACCACACCAACGGCTTGATAGCGCACCTGAAGCAAAATAAACTTTGTATTTTCTTCCAAAACTTTTGATGGGTTATTAAGCAGTAAAACTACCTGCGCACTCGGTTATAGTGAGTTGCTAAAATTACAAAATATCTTCGGCAATGACTGCCAGGCACCCTCATGTCACGTCAATTTGTGTGTTGCCAGTTCATCGTCACATCGCAGACACACCAACACAAATGTATCGCAAGTCTTATCGATCAATTACAGCCAGTTTGCTTAAGACAGGGGACCAATCACAGATCTTTAGCCAACTCACCCAAAACACTCATCCATGTCAGAATTTTCTCATCCTTATCTTATCGATTCACTGCATTTCACAAACTTTTATCGATAAAGAAAAGTACCATCGGCTGTCCACACTCATGATCAGACCCTATAAATATTTGAGCCTACGTCCACATCAAGAGTATAACACTTAAACACTATTCTTTACATTGCATAGTCTGTTACACCCAAACTTTCAGTCCGATCTTGTCATACATCGGCAAAACGAAAATCTGTATACAAGCTCGAATTTTGAGGTAATCTGCAGCATATGTCAAATAACAACACTGGTCTTTCATTCTTCTGCTCTGTCACAATCGTCATGGTTTTGGAAGCGGCCATGCATTCAATAATTTTTGCTACTTGGCCAAACTTCTGACCAGCTATATTAGAATGATTTTCATGATACAATATATCGGAATTCAATATGAATTCAATAAACCGTAATATAAAAGGCACTTTAAGGCAATAAGTTATAACTGTCACAAACTACTACTTCTATTCGACCCGTAAGCGTCAAAAACCATAGCAACAGAAAATACCGTTCGTTATGAGGTGCTTGTCCTAACACTGTTTTGCAAGGGATGTATTCTTTTTTCCTAACACCGATAAGACTTCAAAATTAATGGAACCCCAAGCCTTGACCTTAACTACTTTTCAGCTCTAAAAAGGCATTTGCAAAAGCTCCAACAACTGGTAATTATTAAGAAACGAGACCTCGAGTTTGACTGTTGCTGCGGCATTACATGACATTAAGCACAATAGGAAAAAGACTTGGTTTGATACAGGGTCGTAGATTTTTAACTGCAGGACTTTGCTGTTGACGTGGTATTGCTAACAGACAAACCAATGAACAAAATTCATTACTTCTGAAATCGAGTAAAAATAAAACAATCAAAGTCAAGATTACTTTGCTAATTCATTGCAAAGCACAATCAGAAACTCTCTTGAACGTTTCTCAAGTAATTGTGCTGATCATCACAACTATGTTCACATAAAAGCTCGGGTTACCTAAAAGATCCTTATTCACATAATACATCGTTATGTTATTGGTTATTTTACAAGTAAATGAGTTGATTCGAAAAGAACAGGGTACTTAGTGTGCACTTTAGATGTCTTGTACAGACAGAAGTATCATAAAAAGTATGCAAATCTTCAGTATAATAATTAATGTCGGGTAACTTGCCCCAGATTGCTGTGCAAATCAAGCACCTTAGAGATGAAGGCATAGGAATATTGCTTGCTAAGGCGCATGTTCTCCAAGTGACTGGCTATGGCTCTGTCCTCTCTCTCGCGGTCTCCTAGCTCGGCTAGTTAAAAAAGGCACAAATAGAAACGCTCATCTTCCCCTTCAAACAGTAACTCATGTTATATGATGGTTAGCTTTGAATGATTGATAAACTCACGAATAACGTCTCGACGCTAATATATCGTTATGACCATTAAATTCGGGACGCTACTAACAAAGCGAACAAAATTAACTTACAATATAAATCGAGGGTGACTTACGGCTAATATTGCCTGTACATAAATGACTAATTACACAAAAAAACGAAACATACGCAGGCATGATTTGCATTATAAATAGACGAAGACGATTAGATCGGGACACGTGGCACAATAATACAGATTTCGGCTCCACGATGCCATTTAGAAATCCATAACTAATGCCTACCACAGAAACATGCTCTTTCCTAACATTATATAAAAGTCTTGCATTAACTTAGTAGTACACGGTTCCTTTACAATTTACAACTTCTAGCCATTTTCATTCCATTGTTTTGTAATACAATTTCACTAGTTTCTACGGCAAACATTTAAAATGGTCAAATGTTACCTCGAAAGCAATTCTAAATTCGCAAAACATGAACCAAATATTTTTGCTGTGATTTTTCGCTCCTTGTGTTTGTTTAGCACGCCCAAACCTAAACGTCCCGGAATGCTTTTATTGTGGTCAACCCATTTAATTAGCAGTGGTTATTCGAACCAGAAGATGACAATTCGCAAGTATTAATTCGTTGTGTTATGCAATTTTTTGAATTCATGGAGAACTCAAGTATGACGCCTTCAAACGATTCCAAGACAAATTAAGCGGGTTTTATCGGTGTGTTACATTGCAAAATACGTTAATATTCTACAGTCGCACACATTTCTACAAACATGATCAAAATCAGTCATAGGTTTGGTTTGGCTATCAACTAGTATGCTGGATATCTTTGGGTTTTGAAAACAAACCTGATGCGTAATGCAGTGTGTTATGCTTTCAACACCATAAATCTTCAAAATTTTGTGTGATTTTTGCCACTTTTTACGCATTTACATAAATTGACAATTAAATAGGCAAACTTATTCATTTTTTTAGGTCAATGATAAAACGGCAATCTTGACCTACAGCTCTAGATTAAAAAAATACACATGACGTGGTTGAAAAGAAGACAATATTGAGGTCTACTACACGTCCAAGTAAAAATGTCACAAATCAATGGAGGCCTTCGAAGCAATCAAAACAGCCAACAGTAAACGATTTTTCTGATACACAACTGTCATTGGCACTAGGTGTATGATGAAATGTCTAAAACCTACCCTGGAGAATGAAGGCGGTAAGTAAGGCAGCAGTATTTTCACCACAATTTAACTCTCCATCTATAAGGTCTCTTTTCACTTGCATCGCAAATAATCGTCTATAATGGAAAGATAAAGACATTTCCATAACTGATTAGGTGATGTTTAATGGAAATGAAGCCACCAAATAAAATAAAGTTGGGTGATGGGTAAGACACTTTTACCAGATTCTTTATAACTTGGCAATTAAACAGTCCCTAAAAAGTATAGATTTGCAACTGACAGACTTTAATTAGACTGCAAAGAGGCATTATGTAGGGCTGAACGCAGAAGAAAATTATGTCATGACAGCAGAGCATTTCTGGTTTATTCCTACTTGGCTGGGAACTTACACTAAGTCGATTATCATACAAGTGATGAACATTTTACAAGGACAATGATTTCTCAATTACATCGAAGCAAACTTAGTCTTCCAGCACAAAACTTGGGGCCAAAATTACTTGAAATAATTTGCATTGAGATGTCCAGAGCACACAGTTTTACACAATTTTGCAACAAATAAACAATTCGATCGCACCAAAACGTTTCATTTGAAGAATTACTTGCATGATGAAAGTATGAAGGAAGGTATGCTTTTGATAAAGTTCAGAACTTGAATTAGTCGTCTATACGAGACATACTTCTACACGTTCATGAATGCTTTTTATTGCTACTGAAGCATTCTTTTTTCGACCCAAATGCCTCAGTGGACCTGGCAATTATTAAGGTGACAAGCAGCAGTTACTGCCATTTGACACTTAAAATTGACAAGTCATAAGACCTCAAAATTTGTTACCATCCAGGAAATTTATAAGAAGTGATTTCGTGAGGATCAGAAATCATGCCGGTTATGTTTTTACGTGCACAATTAGCCGAAGATAGTTAATCATGGTAACAATTAAAAGTCGAATCTTTTTTTTCAAAAGTTTCGGTGAGGACTATGGGTTCAAGCAAAACCCAATTAACGTCATTTCTTTGCCATGGACCATGTGAAAGTCTAAAGTAATCATAACTGTTAAAAAGGGAAGTACCCAAACAGTGTTTAATCAGTCTAACTCAAGTGCAAGCAAGCGAAAAAGCCAAATTTCTCGTCTGTTAAACTTAAACTAGCAACTATTGAGAGGAAAAGTTATATCACGGTAATGCTTTTTGTAAAAAATGCATTGGCCACATCAAAGGTGAAGATAGCACAGTTCCTTTCACTTTGCAGAGGTAAAGTACAATTCCTGGCAACCCAAGGCAGTAGCAGACGAGATTATTTAGACAGCATTGCGCTTATTGACAAACGCCCGCTTGACTCAACTAACCACTTCGCTATGAATAATTTATTACATAACTATGGTAATTAGACATTTATTCTAGTCAGGTGCAGCCGAGGTCAAGAATAAAAAAACTTATTGCATATATTTAAACTATCTAAACCCCCCTTACCCTTCAATGAACAACAGTTCCTCAGAATTAAAATCGCACAATATTAACAAAGGTCTAAATATTTTAACGAAATGTCTCTGACACCAAATATTGTGCTTACTTGTAACTGTTTACTAGCAGAAAGGTGCGAAGCTATTTGCAACGGTCGTGGAAAATTGTAATCATAAGGGTAAGACTGTTACCCACTAGTATTAAAAGAATGACAATTAAAAACTACATGGAAACACATTTGATCAAAGTTTACAGCCTCACAAGTTTTTGACGTACCTGGTTAGTTTGTTAGTGAGGAGGTTAAGATGTGGAGTGTAGAATTTCACTTTAAAGGAGAATTGTGCTGGTTTCCGGAGAATTTGTGAAACCGGTTTGTACATGGGTTTGAAGTGGTCAAGCCAGCACTAGAAAAACATACTTAAAGATGATGATAAATGCGAACCACATTTCCATCATTACCTATCGCACTGTTGTCCTACTGATTCATTGAAAAGTAGGTATCTTAAACTTAATGACAGGACCCGGCCTAATTATTTCGAACATTAGCAAATTTCAGCCAATGGCAGTTTGAAGGTAACAGAACAATGTTAAATTACTAAACTCCTTGCTATTTTGGTGGTGACTGATAAGCTGACTCTAAATGCTACGTGACCTATAAAACTGGAATTTAACCAAAAGCTAATTAATTAGACCTACTTGAAAAAGTTTAATTTAGTATGATAAAAACTACTTGACTTAATATCTGTCCTAACAGCAAGCCTTTTTAACTGCTCAACCAGAAATCTGGTCTGAAATAGTATTAAGTGATTACGTACCTTATTTCCCATAGCGTCCTCAAACTCCAAATCAAAGTAGTCAGTGTCTTGTAGTTTGAGAGTTTGAACAACGAGGTCGAAAAATTCTTGTCCCGGACATCGAGGCTAAAAATCGGATCTCACTTCATGGTCATTTAAAAAATATGGTCATCAAATTAGTGGGCTCTTCTAGCGAAAAGTAATGTAGCATAGTGTTAGCTAAAAGATCCATTTTATGGTGGAGCATTACGTTCATAATGAAATCCAGAAGTCGACGCATACTTTCAGTGGAAATCACGCCAGATTAAAAAGATGACATTTTGTGCTTAAAATATGTAAATATTACTGAAGCTGGTAAAATCGTGATCTCTAAGTTCATAAACCCTTTGTCCATAATTTCTGGCATATTTCAAAACCGTTAAAATCACAAAATGAACAGGAAATAACAATATCCTCAGCACAATGGATAAATAATGTTCTCTTAACTAGATGAGCTCATCAAAGGGAATTTACCTATGAATTTGCAATACCGACAAGTTTTTTGCAAGCGTAATAATTATTTCCTTTAAAGCAAAAAGTGTTTTAACTTCATCCTTCATTTTCCTCCAGAATGCGGACAAATAGTTTTTAAGTGTTCGGTAATCTAAATGGTCACTTTTTAGATATACTTAAGCAATAGTTACATTAAAAAGTATTTGACATCAAAGACCTATAAAACGGGTATTGTAATAACCTTACTGACAGTATGAAGTTCTCAATGCGACCATCCAGCATCAGAACTCGAACTCTAATTGGCTTCTTTCCGACAGGGTGTTTTGGAGAAATGGCCCTTGAATAACGCTCCTGCATGACTGTCAGACGAAACAGTGAGTTGCGGTTAACATTGTTCTACCAATAAAGATTCTTACCGCGTTAGCTTTATTCAAACAGTCTGACCGGCATTTAATTTAAGAAAATCTGAAAAATTTACCCTTTTACCAAGGCTGATGTCGATCTATGATAAAGCAGCGGTTTTAACAGAACATTCAGCCATTAAAATCACAGAAGACATGGAAGAATATCTTCCAATTTGAAGTGTAATATGAAGAAAAAAACAGCATCATTTCCCCACCTTCATAAAGCGTCGACATAGAAATTGTAAGCCCTATTACAGATAAGCATAAACTATTTTCAAGGTCTCAGTCTAAATAAGTCTTAAACAAAGCAAAATATTAAAATTAGATTTTTACAACAGGCTATACAGCATACCACACAGTTCATTTGAGAATAAAGTACACATTTTTCATGCCGAATTGCTCAAAATACCAACATTAGATTTAAAAAAGGCCTAAATAACTCAGCAGGAAATGTATATTATAATTTTATTTTTTCGAAAAGGTTTGCGAAAAAAATAGGTGATAACTAAGAGTTAGAAGCTTCCATTTACTTTAGAACATAAGATTGTGATATCACCAATAGTTAAAAATGGAAAATATAATGAAAAAATAGTTGTATTCAGAAATTTATGGATGGAGATAAAACCCTTTACCTTGACTTTGAAAAATGGGATCGCCTACGCGTTCAAATGTTTTATGAATTAAAACACCACACTGAAAAATTATTTAAGAATTTATTCATTGTATACACGATGATTTATTAAAAAATTCAGTGTGTTAAATCGTTTAACTTTAGGACTTTCTTGGTTCGAAATGTTGCAAGCGAAGAGCTATAAATTTGATGCCGGTTGTTCGATTACATCACAGTTAATTGCTTAGTGCAGATGCAACTCACAGTTTTCTTATGTCAATATGATTTGAGTTTACTGTAACTCGTGAATACGAAAAAAAAACAACAATTCAATCTTTCATGTTAACTATCTTTCCTCTTTAGTTATCAAAAAATTTTGCTATGTGATTAGTGTAACTAATCACTAAGATTTTATCTGATAAATAAGCTTCGAGAGTGTGGGTAATTGAGATAAAGAAAATGGGGTCTAGAATGCTAGTCAGGTTTTTCTATGTGATATGTTATCCAAAATAATCCCTTAAATATATGATGTTGACATTATGTCTAAGTGAACGAATTTCAGATGTTTAAGTGATGGTAAGCAATTTTTCGATGCAAGATCCCCAATTAATGTTTCGTGACTACCACTTAACTGCGGAAATGTGAGTTAGGGCATTTAATAAACGACCTATTTAGGGTGAACTCTAGCTGTTATTCTGATTTATTTTATTGCCATTTGAAGTACATAATCGTAATTAGGTAATCAATTTAATGCTCTGAATATTTCACACGCATATTTTGATTCTCCGAACAGGTTTAAATCAATTACGTAAATAAATAAAATTGCGTATATGAAAAATTTTCCTACTTCTTGAATGAATACAGCAATAGCAATATCATTGTTAGCGCAGACCAAAATGCCTCCCATGGACTGCTCGTTTCATACTCGATGCTCTAATATTCGAATTAGGTTCCTATGCATTGTCTTTGAATTAGAAACTAAAATAAAATTTTCACGATAGCTTTTATCAAACATCTCTTTGTTCTTTGGCTACAGGAACTCTTCAATAACATATTTGTCATATGGTGAATCACCATTTCTCATTGCAAACAAACCGTTAACTTACCAGAATTCCCTCTATTTCTCTTAACCAATATGGTTCTTTTGTCAGCTGTTGCAATTTTAGAGCAAACTGTCAACTAAACAACGCAGCTATTTAATGAAAGCAAAAAACTTTACATCGCATTCGGCCATGAGCTCCGGCAATCTATTTTGCAGCTAAACATTCCAGATACATCCTCAAAAGTTAAACATTCACAATTCACAAAGACCGAAAAAACAGTAATAATTCCGATTGATTCTCGCTGCGAAAGTCATGTCACTCATATTTTATATCACATTTGTAACTGGCATTACTCATAACAAGGGCGTGGAATATATTGTGTTCATGTGATTCATGCCGTAAATACACGTACGCATATGAATTTTGAAAACTAGTGACTTCATGGAAATTCGATTAAGGATAACAGGAATACTGGGGTCAATAGAGAGCCTTGGAGCTAATTAATGCCCGCCTAATTTCACTAGCATTTTCTATAGTCGGCGACTTTTCAAACGGTGCCTAGCGCTTATTTGTTTCCAAGTCGATGCGCCGCTTATTGTTCTAAAACTTTCACGGTCTTGCTCACCCTGGTCAAAAGGCACCATAGATGCTTATTCAAATTCATTATATGCGGCCTGGCTTGAATCAAATTTTTTGACAGTGGAATCAAGCTTGCGAAAGCTGCCAAATACCTAAAGCAGACAAGCATAACACGATCGTCCATTGAGCGATCTAAAGCTTACTACGCAGGTTTCGATCACGTACACGTTGATATTGTGGATCTCTTGCTGCATTCCATTACATTTAACATCGACCGTTTAACATGATTGCAAAGTTCTATCACATTCCAGACATCTTCGCCAGCACTGTAGCTAAATTTTTGTGGGCTGATGAATAACCTTATTTAGAGTCTCCTCCACTATCACCATAGCCTGAGGATGGCAGTTCGTGAAAACTTGTTTAAAAATCTTACATGGCTTCTGGAAATAAATCACATTCAAAGGTCAGCATACGGCCTTTAATCAAATTGTGTAGTAGAAGGTTTTCAATTAGACTTAAATCCACTTCAGCAGCTTCATAATCTCTTTCTCTTATAACTTTCTACACCCAAATTCCCCATGTTCGTGCACCCACGCTTTTCTATTCTTTGCTTACTTCAAACCATCAACATTGGACATTTCAGAGTTCTCAAGAAAAGGTCATTATTATTGAACACAGTGGAAAAGTAGACGCTTTATCTATTGTCTACGTTGCGTCAGCGTTCCTTAACACAAGGACGCTGCCAGACAGTAAGCCAAAGGTGCTGCCTAAGCCTTCCCCTTTTGACAGTGAAGGGACAAATTCTACTGAAAACTATGACAGACGAGTACTTTGGCCGAATCGATTCCTACTTGACAGATGTGATATTACCAGTTCCTTTCACCAAGGGATGGAGGCGTCACCAATCAATTAGCTCTATCTCCTCATTCTACAGCTCACTCATTTTATGCAAGTTGACAAACACCAGCAGCTGTATTGAGATATCAAATAAACGGCAGAGTGACACTCTCACCTGTCTAATTTTTTTCTTGGATGCTTCGTGCTAAGATATGCAATAATCCATAAGATTGCTACCTACATGCATTTTCCTAGCACCTGTCTTGTAGTCTAACAAATGCAACGGCGCATTCGCCTTTATTATACATTTAAAACTAATGCTACAAATTCTAACTCACATTAATTAGGCATTAAATAAATGTTGTTTTCTTATGGAGTGACAAAAAATACTGCTTTTACTTAAGTCGCAATTTCAACACGAATTAGGTAGCTCCTTTGGTTTGCCGCTTACAGTCTTAACTATATCTGTGAATTATTTAAAATCGCGACTCCTCGTAATTTTGTGGCCTTAATAAATGAGCATTTAAAAAAACGCATCCTACATGTTTTAATACATTACAATATCACGCAAGTCTTAATGCTTAGGATGTAGTTCAGAAAATGTCATCCAGACTGTGGCTCTAAAAGCCTGCGTTTAAGAAGTAATTTTTTTCTTTCATTTAGGCAAATTTAGTTGTCACAATGATACGAATTTTACCTTATTTCAAAGCCAAAACCTGGATGTACAATACTAACTAATTTTGTTCGAAAGGGGCAAAAGTAAACTTTTTCAGGCTAATTGAATCCTAAACGAATTAATCCATCTTTGTTCAGTAAAGGCTTTATGCAGTCCTTTGGAGAAAGTGCTGTGCACCAATATGGTATGGGCTCAAATAAACTTATTTTATACCCTGAAGACCAAGTTTTATTGACAAACCTTAACATTACATTCAAAAATATCTCCAACGTAAGAAACATCCCAATTCTGGCACTTATTTTTTGCAAAAATTCACAAACGAAATGGATAAGTAATTGAGATGAAAAGTTCTGGTTAAAGATAGGCCTTCCAAAGTGTTAGTTTTAAATATTGACGCGGAAGTGCTCGAAAGTTAAACAGAATCAAATTTAAAATGGAAAGTGTTTTTTTTTAAAATTAGTGCATTGTGCAGTACCATAGGAATATGTGGGCCTATTTGGGTTAGAACTACCGAAATAAAGATCTTAGATTGAATCAGACCAAAGATGCTCCTGGTGCACTGAAAGAGATAGATAAGGATGAAACTTGAGCACCGTAATACAAACAAAAATTTCTAAACTTGTCCAAGCTTTCAATTTTCTTGAAGCTTTGATCTTACGAACTTTAATTGAGGAATCCATCGAGTAAACAGCTGCTGTTGTATGCCTTTAGTGTAAGTACATATAGGCAGTGAACTCAATGAGAATTGATATTACATAGATTATTGTTATTTCATTCGCCGCTCATGACATTAGGTTTCAGCAAATTTATTTCAATTTGAATTTTATAATCCATATTAATGTCTGTTTCAATTTCTAGCAAACATGACCTTATAACTAACTGACTTCAAACAACCTGACCGAATATTTGTCAAATTAGTTTTGAATGTCTGCTAAAATCGTGAATTCCAAGGAGATTCGTGAATCGAAATTTCTTCGTGGTTTATACACATTAAAAGTAGTCGAACAGGATTGGTTGGTGAAAACTGATTAAAATACAACTTACTTGGCTTCGTTAAGAGGAGCATCAGGTAGGTACCAGAATCGATTTTTGTCTATCATAATGAAAACGGTGGCCACGACAGCACTGAAAACTACAAAAACTGCAGTCACGATGCCTACAACTTGACCTGATGTCATTGCGTCTTTAGATTCTAAAAAGAATAGAGG